GTGTCTGTAAATTTAACCAACTTAGTTATTTTATATTTAGGGTATTTAAGTACCTGATAAGTACAGTAGTACATGAATAGGGCTTCTGATCTTCAGTTTTAACTGATAAACACCAATAAAACACCCCCAATACCCCCCCAAAAAAACTAAATCAGTGCTTATCCAATAAACACCAGAAATGGACATTCAACGTTGCTGAAGAGCAATATTTCTCTCTCACGGTCTTGGCGGTGCCCTGGTGTGCCAACTGTGCATGTGTTACTCTCAATTCCCACTTCTGCTTCTCCTCCTCCAATTGCACAGATGCATCTGGTGAAGCGTGTGCATGTGACAGGAAAGAAATGGTACAGATGCATGAGGGCACCTCTCTTCCCTCCGTGTGCGCAGTTGTATCTGCACACAGAAGGTAGAGAGGCACATGCACACAGCTTCACTCCTCTTGAATACAAGCGAATGTGCAGTGCCTCTCTCCTCTCACAAACACATTTATAAGTGAGAGAAAGGAGGCACTGAACATGCGCCTCTTTCCCCTCCATCTGCGCAGGCCCATCTGGTGAAGGGACCCCGAAAAAGTCTCATTACACTATATAAAAGCACAAGCCCCCCCCCCCCACCACTCGCCTCAAACTGGACATCAACATAGAACTCAAACTGCTAAATAAACTTGGAAAAATGAAATTATCAAGCAGCGGAAAACCAGACGTCCAATATATGAGTATATTAAATATATGAATATGGGAGGGGCACATTCAGGTTACTGGCATTCTGATTTATGGAGGTCCATTGTACTCTCAGTACAAATGTCATCAGTACTTAATTCTTCCAAGTTGATAGCTAGTGAACAGACATTTCCGCCTCCAAAGGCATTACACTGTGATGTACACAACTGCCTTGAGGTACTTGTTAATTTATATGCTTATTTTCCATCCTGAATATTTTAAAATATTTCGAATTTGTCATCAACTGACCTGCCCATTTAGCCCATTTTTAAATAGGATTGAAAATGAAACCCAGAACAATAGTTTATGATGCACCAAGACAGTAGAAGCCATGGGTTTAGAGTTGCAAAGGGCAATTTCCGACAGATACCGGCCGGAAATTAATGACTGGAACAGTTTACTAGTAAGCGTGATTGAGGCCAAGGCACTGGACTCATTTAAAAAGCAACGTGATACTGCAATCGGAGGGTGGGTATTCTGGAGAGATGGGATCCAAATGGCTATCATCTAAACCAATCTTGTGGTTTTGTAAAATAATAATCACAATTTATTTGTTGTTGCACAATACAATACAAAATTACATTTGTATAATGCCTTTCCCGTCGGGAGGAACTATAAGTCAAGTATGTTATTTCAATTGCTACTAGCTTTCATGTTTAGGTAGTGTACTTAAAAGCCGTCTTGCTTTAAACTCTTTAGTCAGTCTGTTTTTCTCACTTAGATTTATCTTTCTTCGACATAGTTCAGTTTGCCTTGTATCCACTCAGTCCTAGTGTCCCCTTTTCCATATCTTGTGTAATTCAACTACAATTTCCTGCTAGATTGTCTGCTCCTGTACATTCGGGACAAGTCTCAAGGCACTTCACAGGATTTACTGTAAATTGTAGTGACTGTATCCTGTAGGCGAATGTGGCAGGTAATTTATGCTCAGTAATATCTTACACATAGCCATGAAAGTCAATAACCAATATGATCTGGGGTGGTTAGTCAGGATACTGGGAGAAATTCCCTTTTTTCAGATTTACATCTTTTACAACAGAATTCTCCCGCTCTCTTGCTATTAAATCTATTACAATTGCCCACTAATAACTTTCATCATTCTTATATACTACCTAATTCTTCAAACTGAAAATGAATTTAGGAATGGATTGTTGGGACTTCAATACAAAGGGTTACTTAATGGGATTCATCTTCTATTCAAGGTGACTTCGAAATTAACTAAATGTAAATCTGCTCTAGTGAAAGAATTCCATCATAAATCCTCACTGTAGAACCTGGTTAAGTTTCCATTCACTCTTTATTTGGTTAGCCGAGTGTGTGACACATGCAGAAACCCATCACCAAGTTTCAGAATATCCAAACCAAACAGAGTTTTATGCATCCCACCTATACATGGAAATTCCAGAAATGTTTATTGGAATGGAATACGCACCTCTTCTTGCTTACCTAATAATGGAAAGTATTAGACCCAGGTTGGCAAGAGCCTAGGCTTGGGGACCCCAGAGTCTGCGTTGGGATACTGCTGGAGTCTAACCAACTAATACCGCATAGCTTGCCATTGAAATTACAGTCTGTCAAGTTTTACTGCTGCTTGTCTAGCAAGGACCACCCTACCTGTCAGGGCTTTGGCTTGCAGGGTTAATAGGAGCTGAGTGGGAAGAGTCGTTAACTCCAGTGACTTGGATGCCCTTCCAAGTTTTGTTGATAAGCCGGGCTTGCAGGGCTGTCATCAGCCTTGGAGCCGTGCAGACCCACCTGGCTCAAGAACTGGACTACAATAATCCTTGCATTTGATATAGCGCTTCTAGACCTCTCAAAGCGCTTCACAGAATATGCTGTAAAGTGAATTGACTATATTTGTGGGCTAAACGCGGCAGCCAATTGCGCATAGCAGTGTTCCACAAACAGTCGTGGATTGAGTGACCAAATTATTATTGTTTTTTTTTGGGGGGAAGGATTATTATTAGGCTATCAAGACCACAACAGGGGCACTAGTTTTCCAGTTGGGGTCACTGGATGTTGATCGAGAATTTAGGATCCTGTATTCTCTCTTTCGCTCCTTCTTATTTTGGGGCTAACTCGGTCTATTGCGGCATGACGACTGCTACCCTTGCCAATACCAACTCGACAAAAAATTGAACATGTGACCTTCTGGCTCATTTGTCTTAGTTCTCCACCAGGGCAGTGTCTTTAACCATCAGGTCACGGGAGGGATAGTTGTTTACCAATTCTGCTTTTTGTTTTAATTTTAGTTTTTAGTTTAAATTGCATTGAATCACACTATTGTAAATCCAAATAGTTCGCTGGAATTTTTAACTTTTAACTTGATGGAACTTTGGTTTAACATCTTATTTTTTAGAAAAAGGGTCATGCCTAAAATGGTGCTTGACCTTAAACTTCCAACTCAGAGTCAAGGGTACTATCAAACTGACACCTAAATCTCTCAACAGTTAAGGTACATTTACAAAAAGAAAAACTGACATTTCTGCCAGATTAATTTCAATAGTCATAAGAACATATGCCTGAATGAGAAATGTCGACCCCACTCATTCCACAAAGCACAATTTTTTTATTCATGTTATCCATGATATCCATGGTCATAGAGCAAACTATTCATCCATATCCCTCTTCTTCCCACCCTGTCTATCCAGCATCACAGTAACAATTGTGTCCCTTAGTATTATTTGGTGATCTCAGTCTACATCTACTGTATTTACTGTTCTGAAACAGGTGTATATTGAGTTTGTATATTGATTTCTTTATTGAAGGAGTTCATGAACATTGGGAAATGTTCCCAAATCCTTTACTTTGAGGGAAGAAAAAATCTCCTAATCCCCAGTCTCACTTAAAGCTTTACAATTTTAAGCCTTCACAATCTCAAAGTCTCACCATCTAATGGGTAAACAAACCTGGCTATGGAGCACTACGCAGTACGGACCAGAAGGTGGCAGGTTAATTCTGTAGTGATACCTCATCTCAGCCAAGGCAATAGTTGGGTATCACAATTGACCTCAATGACCTTAAATTTGAAAGAGAAGGATGAAAAAATGTCAAATACTTTGCTGGGCCTCATCATTTTGCAAGTTTGAATTCTGCCTTTGCTCTTTTCCAATGAAAAAAGTTGAGTTGTGAAAGCCTTTCATCATAACCTAGCTCTGAGTCCACTCAAGTGAAAACATCAATCAATTGATCTAATACAATACATAGCAATCTACATTTCTCAACCATGATCAGTTGTTTCTAAGATTGGTCTCATCAGGATTGGAACTAAGGGATTCTACAGTGTTTTAACAGTCTGTCTGTACTGTACTTAGTCTTATAATCCTTTTAATCTCATTCTTCACCAATTCCTGTCATAGGATTCACTGGTTTTGATGGTTTATGCTGAATGTCTAATTTGAGTTTGTGGGATTTTTTTAAAGGATTGGTCCTTGCAAAGAATTTACTTTGGTATTCAGATCAGGAAACAGCCTGGCCAATCCAAAGCCTATTTTAGATATAGTTCTGAATTAAAGAGCTATATCTGTAGATAAAGAGTTGTTGATGGACTGATCAAATAGGGTTTCCTCTGTTGATGGGCATGAATAGCATAGTGTTGGTATCTTTTTGGTTGGCCAACCAAATACATTTTTCTTTATTGAATTTTTCTTAATCTATAGCTCATTAGATACTGGAATTTAGGTATTGTGATTTGACGCGAACTTGCATAGAGTGGCGTGGGTGTTTGGTGGGCCAGTTCTTTATGCTCCAAGAATTCTATCGTGATCGGTTGAAGACCCCTGGTTTATGGTGTTCCTTTTTCATTTTAGTGGGAGATCGGGACTTGTTTAACAATAGACGGCAAGCATTTTTTACTCCGTATCTATCACCAATATAGGAATTTCCTTGGATATAGGAACACTAAATGATACATATGACTTTGCGGTATTTTTCACTGTATTTAAAAAAATTACAAATCTGTTTATATAAATTATATTATACATCATAATAACTAATGCTTGCAGATTTGTGGTTCATTTATCATTTGAGGAAGTGGAAAGTTTTCTAAATATAGTCGAGCCAATTGCTTTTTATTCTTGCTTGTTGATCAGCTGTTCGTCTGATTGTTCAGAGATTAGATTTCTTTGACCTTTCATAAAATTATTAATGGAAATGAAAAAAGGCTGTTTGAAATACTTTTAGCTCAATTTGGGATAAATTGTTTAAGTAAACTAGAAGAATCATTTAATGCACATTGCTGTTCCACGGTATACAGTATTAAGAAATATTTGTACTTTGCAGCAACAAGAAAAACACACCAGAATCGACTGTTGGGAAGAAAAAAGGCAAAAGGAAACATGAGTCATCTCCAGAAAATTCTGATATGGAAAAAACACCACCCCCATCTCCACAGGAAGAGGATGAATTAGGAGTGCAGGTGAATGGTCTAAAAAAAATAGACATCAAGTCAATGTGTCGGACTAAAACAATAGAGAATATTGACTTTCAATTTCATAATCGGCATGGGTTGTACTTTTTATGGGGTGCTTAAGGTATGGCTGAGTTTTCCTTTAAAGTTCTACCAAGCAGTAATTTTATCCACCAGATAAAATTATTATGGGTGGCTCCTAATATGGGCAGTCTTTAGTAAAAATAAGGAATAAAAGGGTCATTTAGTTCTATCAAGGAAATTCCACATTTTGACCATATAAAATTCAATCCAACATGTGCAACTGGCTTTCTTTCTTGAGAGGGAAACCATCACATATAAACAGGATGTAGTTTGTGAGATGTCTTCCAGTTTTCCAAAAGTATTTAAAGCAAAACTCCAATTCATTGTGCACCTATGTTTAATTTTTACTGTTGATGTATTCATTGCTCAAAGGTCAAGTATCTTCACATTGATTTTATTAGTCTTTTTTAAAAATAAATGTTTTATGGTTCCAAGCTCCTGGGTTTGTTTCAGCCCACATGCAAAGAATGGAAGCAATTGCAGGGAGAGTTCTGGCTTACACTGACCTGTTGTAAGCACCCTGTGGATAGAGTCATCTTCGTGGCTGGCAGATCTATTTGCCAAAGTCTCTCACATGAGGACCTGAATAATCAGTTGGTGTTGAGTAAGCCTGGTGAGCAACATTGGACTTGGACCTCTACAAAATCAAGATGGTTGTCAGATCACAAGGTGACCTGTTTAGGTCCTTCTACTTCCCAAAAGCTGTTGTCTGTTGAATAACTGATGAGGATACTCTGAGGCTTGAGACAACAGCTGTGGGAAGCCTTTAAATGTTGTCTGGGTTTGTGAGCACACAATCCTATGGTCTGGTGAAACCATTGCTCATTGATGCTACCACCCTCCTGCCCACGTGTCTGAGCTATGGGCAGAAGGGTGGTGGCAACGTTCTCATGCATTTTATGCTGAGTTGTGCTGCTCACAAGGAAGTTTGCAGGGAGTTCCCTGTATCTGCTATCCACCTAGTGAGGAATCAAACTTGTGCTTGTTGGATATCACTGGGTGTTTGTGGGATATTACTGTGTACAAATAGGCTGCCTCTTGTACGTTCGCCTACAAATACACAGCTGCTCTACTTCACTTCAAACCCAGTGAAGCATTTTGAAACGTTGTCCTGATGTGAAAAGCCTTCACCAAATGCAAGGATTATTATCCTCCTTGACTGGGATGTAAGTGGGGTCTCTTGGCAGCTATCCAAAACATTTTTGTTTTTAAAAAATGCTGACAGAAGAGTTAAATATTTAAACTTAATTCTGCCAGAAGTGGAGATTGCCAATGTCAGTAAATGTAGTAATGGTAATAGTGTGTACTGCTAATACATTATCAGTAATGTTGGACATTCTTCCCATGTTTTGTATACAATGTATCTGAAACATGGGAAATCATTTAGCGGTTTTATTTTTATATTTGCTGATTCCAAATGAGTGCTTTAAGGTGTTTTAGTAGGAATAGATCATAGAACATCATATGCTTAATGCAAATATTTTAGTGAAAGGGATAAAGCTTTATGAACCTGTTATCAGACGTGTTCTACAATTTTCAAATTGGAGGGAAAATGTGCATCCTAGGTTCTGCATATTCTGATTCATTATTACCGTTATTCTATATATCTGCATTGTGCCTGGATTGTCTGCATGACTTTCTCCTCTATACATTTCTTTCCAAAGTAATCCCATAAGGGGAAAGTAAACAGCAAAGTAAATTTATTTTAAACTTTTAGTTAAACTTGTAGCATATAAAGACCCGTGTCCAAACATTTCTCCTTCATGGTTGCCCACTCCTGAAAATGCAGGATAGAGCAGTGAGGTGGATTTGTGGTAAACGGAAAGCAGCTGCTGTCAGGAAGGGCTGTGGCCTACACTGACCTATTCCTTAGCACCCAGGAGGCATATTTGGCTTCACAGCGGGAATATCTATTTGCCAAAGCCTCTCACATTAAGGACCTGGATTAAGCAGCTCGTGCTGAGCGAACCTGTACATGGTATTGGACTTGGACTTTGAGAATATCAAGTTGTCCGGCTGGCACATCACAAGCTTATCCTGTACAGGTCCTCCCACCACACTGAAGGCAGATGTCCATCAGATAGCCGATGAGGTTTGGAGCAAAAGTTGCTGGAAGGCATTACCTGGATTCTGAGTTTTTAAATACACGTTCATATATTCAGGACATGGAATTCAGCATAAACCTCTCCATGTCCTTTGGTACGGTTCCCACCCCTTTAAAAACTGCTGTCATCACTGCTATCCTTAAAAAACCCTCCCTGGACCCTTCTCTACTCCCTAACTACCGCCCCATCTCCAATATCCCCCTTTCTCCCCAAGGTCCTGGAACGAGTTGTTGCTTCTCAGCTTCACTCCTTCCTCTCCCGCCACTCCCTTCTCGAAACCCTCCAATCGGGCTTCTGTGCCGCCCACAGTACAGAAACAGCCCTGGTCAAAGTGACAAATGACATTCTGCCCATCTGTGACCTGGGCTCCCTCTGCCTCCGCGTCCTCCTTGACCTCTCTGCTGCTTTCGACACCGTTGACCGCTCTGTCCTCATCCATCGCCTCCTCTCACCTCAACCTCCACAGCGCTGTCCTTGATTGGTTCAGATTGCATCTCTCACACCGCCTGCCCTTCATCTTCTCAAACGACTTCTCCTCTAGACCCTGGTCCGTCTTGTGAGGCGTTCCTCAGGACTCTGTCCTTGGTCCCCTCCTCTTCAATATCTATATGCTCCCTCTTGGTGACATCATCCGCATATATGTGGTCAACTTCCACATGTATGCCGATGACACCCAACTCTATCTCTCTGCCTCCACCCTTGACTCCAGGACCACTGCTGTCCTGACAGAATGTCTTGTCAGACATCAAGTCCTGGATGAGAGCTAACTTTCTTCAGTTGAATGTCAACAAGACCGAGACTCTCCTGATTGGCTCCCGTCAGCGCCTTCTCACCTCAGGCGCTGACAGTATCATCATCCATAGTTGCACACTCCACCTTACTAAGCCAATCCGGAACCTTGGCATCTTGTTTGACCCTCAACTATCCTTTCTACCCCACAATCGCGCCATGACCCGCTCTGCCTTCCCCCACCTCCACAACGTTGCCCGGCTCCGACACTGTCTCACACCGCAAGCCGCCGAAACCCTCATACATGCCTTCATTACATCGAGGCTCAACTATGCAAACTCACCTCTTGTCGATCTCCCCAACTCCTCCCTCCACAGGCTGCAGATCGTGTCCTTTCCTGCATTAGGTTCCGCGACCCTACCACCCCCATCATTGCCTAACTCCACTGGCTTCCCATTACACAGAAGATGCAGTTCAAGATCCTGGTCCTCACCTTCAAAGTGCTCCATGGTCTTGCTCCCCCCTACCTTTCCGACCACCTAACCCCCTTACCAGCTTGTTCGCTCCCTCCGCTCAGCGGGCTCCAGCTTGCTTCACATCCCCCACCTTGCTCGCCCCACTGTTGGTGGGCGGGCCTTCGGCACTCTGCACCCATCCTCTGGAACTTCATCCCGCAGTCCCTCCGTCTCGCCCCCTCCCTCGTCACCTTCAAGATCCACCTCAAGACCCTCCTTTTTGACCGTGCTTTCGATCTCCCTGCTTCCCTCCCTGCCCTCCCCCTCCCCAACCTCCAGCTCGGGTCTGTAACTCTGTCTGTCCAGCGCCATGGGACGTGCTCCCGATGTGAAAGGTGCTATACCAATGTAATGTTGTTGTTGTTGTTCATTTTGATTGGTGCGCAAAGAGGTTTGCAGCTGCTGCTCAAACTCTGCACCTCTTATTGTGGAACCATCGCTCAATGGGTAGGAATGTGAGTCTGAGCTGTGGGCAGGAAGATGGTGGTCCTCTTGTCTTCAAGTTGCCTTATCAGCAGAAATAGTTCTTCAACATTTATCTTCGTATCTGTTTATTAACTTAAATTCCTGCATCATTTCGCTCCTCAACCTTCTCAGCTCTGGAAACAGTCTGAAACTTCATTCTCTCCTCAAAGCCATATCCTCTCAGCTACAGCATTCCTAATGAATGTATGCTGCATCCTCACCATAACTCTATAGTGAAAACCCAAAACTGTACACATTATTCCAGTACAGTTGAACCATTATCCTAGTCATTCACTCCCTAGCACCTCCCTACCTCTCTGACCTCCCCACTCCCCAATCCACCATCCGGTGCCTCCGCTCGCCTGGCACCGGCCTCCTGCTCGTCCCTCGCACCCTCCGCCCCACCACCGGCGGTCATGCTTTCAGCCACTATGCCGCAAAACTCTGGAACACTCTCTCAATCCCTCCGCCTTGCCCACTCACTCCCTTTTTCAAGTCCCGCCTGAAAACTTTCCTATTCAACTGTGCTTACAGCCACCCCCTAGGCCATTTAAGAGTGAAATCAGGAAGCATTTTTTCATTCAAAGGGTGGTAGAAATCTGGAATTCTCTCCCCCAAAAGGTCGAGGATGCTGGATCCATTCACACCTTCAAGAGTGAGGTTGATAGATTTTTGCTAGATCAGGGTATTAAGGGATATGGGGAGAAAGCAGGCTATTGGAATGGAAAGGATTAGATGAGGTACAGATCAGCTATGGTCTAATTAAATGGTGGAACAGGCTCAGGCTGTTCAGAGTTGGGCTCCACCACTGTTAAGCACTCAGACCCTACCCTGTGTGGATGACACTATATAAGTGCAAGTTGTTGTTGTAGTCCAGTAAGATGTTCTAGCCACATAGTTAGTCAGAGTGGAGGGTACTATTCTACCTTCCTGCGTGTGCTTGAAGCTGAGGCTAGATCAAAAATACATGCCCTAGTATTTTTTTTAAAAAGGATGTTTGGTTCTAACTTTATAAAACCTCTCTTATTTTGAATGAGAGAACCATGAAATCGATACTAAATTGCTGATTTCTGGCATTTATAACGTATAAGTTTATTTTGACCCACTTTGTGTTACTACTATCAGAAGCGCCGCTCCAGCCGACAAGTGAAAAGAAAGCGATATACGGAGGATCTGGAGTTTAAAATATCTGACGATGATGATGCAGGAAAAGATTCTCCATTGAACACTTCTCAATCAGAGCAGGTATCTTGAATAATTGCTTCTACTTTGGGGAACTTTTTTTTGCTAATTTTAAATACTATAAGTGTACCTCATAAACCAGAAGGAGGACGGGCGCCCTTTCCTTGCTCTCCGCATCCCCCTTCTCACTCTCCATCCCTCCTCTCTCTCTCTCTCTCCCTACTCCATCCTGTTGTGCTCTCTCCTTCCTATATCCACTGGCTCACTCTCTTTCCTCTTCCGCCTATGACGCGCTTTCCCAGTCCTGCACCCACTTTCACACTTTCTCATTCCTCCATCTCCTTGATCCGATGCTAACTTGTGTAAAGGGCGCAAGTAGTATGTAAATGCAAGTTGTTGTTGTTATCTTTATATAAACTGTTCCACTAACTTCCTGCGTTTCTGAGTTACCATATAAGATGGTTATTTTTACATTTTATTTCATCACTGCAAATAGTTGCTGAAAATTAATTGTTTTGTTAGGAACCTGCTGCAGATGGTCCTGTAACAGAGAAAATTATGAGCATACGACTAGTAAAGAAAATCGTAAGTATTAAAATGTTCCTGTTTTTAAAGTGTGGCAAATGCAGTATTATAGTCTGGAGTGCAGCTATTTGGTCTGTCAGCAACAGCTGGTGGCTGGGTAACAGTAGCAGTAAAGAATGTGAGCACATTTAAATCCTTTTAGAGGCTGTTGATTATATAGATTGATTGACTGCAATTTAATGTTCTGAATGGCTGACAGTATACTGAAATTAGCGACCACATAAAGCCTGCACATTACAAATGCCCAAGTACATTTCCAGATTTACTGGCTTCTGTTTAGATTTGAATTTTCCACAGGTAAAGGGGATATATTTCAAATTGTAAAAGTTCTTGAGATTAGTTTTAAGATTGCCAACAATAATACATGTGGCTTCCAGGAGTGCAGCTGCAAACTGGCTGCTGCCTCAGGAAATGGTACATTTGGCATCTGCTTAACACTGTGGGTTTGGCAGGAAGCCAGGTCGAGGTCAGGTTATTGTGAATGGAGTAGCTGGTGGTTAAGGAGGAGATAAAATGATTCATGAGTTGGTTGACATAGTAAGCAGAGTAGCTGGAATTGATAGCTCTTTGCAGGGGTTTTGCAGAAAAAAGTAATCCCTGCCAAAGGAAACTTTTGGTGTTCTTTTCGTACTAATTCTACTTAAGCACATTACACTGTGTCCCTAACCACTTCATAGCAGTGAAGTGCCTGGAGATTTAAATGACGGTGACAAATTGTTTGTGTAGACATCTGATTCTAAAATGTGCTTCTGATTTCAGACTGAATCAGGAGAAGAAGTGGAAGTCGAAGAGTTATATGTCAAATACAAAAACTGGTAAGTATGTGGGTTAGATGATTCCTGAAGGTTTAAAGCTGTCATACTGCATTAGTAAATTTTACTCACATTAGTAGCCCTGTGCTACAGAGCAATTCAAACCTGCATTTGTCCTGCAGATCCCCTTAAGGGTTCCTGTCATTAGCTGTACTGTTGGGAGGAGCTGAGTGGAAGTCAGGGCATCCCCTCAGGGATAGCATGTCTGCACCTCAAGGCTGCTCTTGTGGCCATCTTGGTGGCTAAGTCAAGATTGGCAAATGTAAATGTTAGAAAGGAGGATTCACAACGGTTTGAGGGACCGCTTTGGCAGTCAGGATGCTTGTATTTATAATGATGAGCATGGGAATATTCCCTGTAGAATTCTCTACCAAAGGAGAATTCTCCCTTGCCTGAAATCAGTTAGCTTAGCGCGCTTCAAGGTTTGAGATTGGGACCTTCCTGGTCTAGATGGCTAAGTATCCATCATACGCTGAGTTTCCATCTCCCAGCATCAAACCCCCCAAATTAAAATTACTCAATGCCTATGGCAAAAAAAATAAAATTGTAAGGTACAACTTTCAAATAAATCAACTGCTTGGAGCCGGACAACTGGAATTGCCCAGATGATTTGTGAATTCTGCTTCAGGTATGCCCATCCACGCATATAAGAAAAGGCACTCAAAGCTACATGCAGTAGAGTTAATTATTCATAGGTGAGCGATGGTTTTGTTTGTTGGCTGACTTGTTTTGAATCCACAGCTACATTTTGATTTTTGATATCTTTCAATTGTGTTGCTTCTGTTTAGGGAAGTCACTGCCTATAAATCCTTGGTTTAAACGTCCTCTTGAATGTTCTAAAGGATAAAATTTCTTTTTTAAAATTAAAGCTCCATTTGTTTCTTAATGTCATTTGAGTTCTGAATGCTGGTCATTCTGATTGAACAGAATGGAGGTTTTACTTTTGCTTAGACATCAAAGCAGGAGGAGAAAGGGGAATTAAGACGGTCAGCTTTGTCTTTAGGGAAGCTAGCAGCTAAACCATCAGGATGTTAGAAAGGAGGATTCACAGACGTTTTGAGGGACCGCTTTGGCAATCAGGATGGAATTACTGCTGGATGGGAAGGAGGACAACAGTTAACATTTCTTTCCGAAGACATTGCGTTTAGCAGATCTAATTATGGACTTTGAGGCTGCAAGCAGAGATAAGTGTTTCAGTGCAGGATGAAATGAGCAGAATGGCAGGTAGGATTGAACCAAGGTACACTGCTTGATCTGATTGTAGATGGATGTGAAATCCTCCTTACTAGTTAGAATAACATTGGTAAGGGCCATCCATTAAAGTTTGTTTTTATCCACAAAATAAAAACCTGGGTTTTTTTTTCGTGGTCTTTTATTTGGGTCCAAAAACAGGTGAAAAATGGGGGTGGGGAATTTGTCACAAAATAAAATTGGCTAAATTCAGTGAATATCAGGACTTATTTTGGAACATCGAAAAAAATCTCAAAGTAAGTCAGATACTATCAAAACTCCCTCAGCTCCATTACTCAGCCAGAATTGTCAAGTGTTTTGGGGCTATCCTCCTGGTTGAAAGGTGTTATATAAGTGTAAACTGTATTGTGTCATAAAACCAATGTTTTTATTAATGAACACTCTTTCTCCCTGCCTCTACCTCTCCCTCTTTTCTCCTTGTCGCTCTCTCTCTTTCTGCCTCTTTGTTTTCCTCTCTCTCTGATCTTCCTCTCCCCCTTTCCCTCTGCTCTTCCTCTACCCTTCTCTACCACTTTGTCTCTCTCCCATTCTCTCTCTACAGTTTTCTCTCCTTTTATGACTTATTTCTATCTTTAGCTCTACACTGTGCTTAAGTATCATAGGGTTAACTTTGGACTCCAGCAAAGGTTGCTAGGAACTCTTAATTAACAAGCTTTGGAACCTCACATACAGGCACCACTATTTCACAATTCCTGTAAATTGATATCTGCACCTCTGAGAACAAGTTAATCAGAGGGCATTGTAGATTAACATTGGGGAAAAGATGTTTTGCCAATTGACTTTCACGAAAAAAGCGTGTATTTATCAGTGAAAACATTTAAAAAAAAGACTTGAATGGTCCTTAAACACTGGCCACTTCACTAGCAGAGTTAAAAGATCATAAGACATTGAAGCATCAGTTTGAGCAGGATAAGGCAACACAGAATTCTGATTTTAATTTTAATGGACTGGGTGTGGATCATTTGAGGGCATTATCCAAAATTCAAGATTAGACAGGAATCAAACAAGCAAAGAGGTGAGAAAAGATGAATTACGGTAAGCACTTTGTTTATTGTGGTTTGATCATAAAGTTGATGATTTTTCCTCCCTTTTCTCCACCAGCATTTATTTTTTCAAACCTCTTATGAGAATCAGCCAACCCTGAAAAATGCAATTAAGCTTTTTTTTGTCTCTCAAGTCACTGATTTGCATGTATTTAAATATAAATTCTATGTGCATGATACAGTGAACAATATTTTAGTGATCTTTATCTTCTCTGATCATGACATCTTCAGTATTTTTCCATTTAAACAAAAAACTCAGTTGTGTGCCTAGTTTTAGTAGCTAAGCACTGGTTCAAAGGAAAGTATCCTAAATGAATCCACTTGTGGTTAATCTTTATCTCCCTCCAATTTTTCTATTCCTTAGTTCTTACCTTCATTGTCAGTGGGCAACAGTGGAGCAGCTGGAAAAGGACAAGAGAATTCATCAGAAGATAAAACGTTTCAAAGCTAAGCAGGCACAGATGAACAAATTCTTCACTGAGGTTAGCAATTGTTTATAAGTTGCAAAATGCTGCAAATGTGCAGAGTTTGGAATTATGGCCTTAAACCTAAGGGTGGCTTACTTTACCAGAGATGTTAGCCATTCTGATGGCCATTCTTGCCCTGAACCTGATTATAAACTGCATCAGATATGGTAGCTAATTCCAGAATAATACTTAATATTTTATTTCAACTGTAGTATTTCCTTTAATTTGGGTTGAACAAGGTTACTTATGTTACCATGGATGACTGAAATATTATAATTATATAAAGCACGTTTCAGGGTGGCTGATAAATGTCATTGTAGAACTATATTTTATCTATAAAACTATCTATAAAAAATATTGTATCTTTGGCTCAGTTTCTGTTATTTTCCTATAGCTTTGTAATCAGCTACCCAATACGGTATTGATTGACTCCCATCAAATGCAGTTAATGCAGTGTAAATGTTCTCCAAATGAGGTCTGGATGATGACTATCTATGACAGGATTTGAAATTATACAGATAGATATGAATATAGATGAAATTCCCTACAGGACATTATAGTTCCCAGTCTGTTGAGATAGTGGAAATGCCATCTGTAGAATGTGCCAGTGCTGAATAATGTTGATTGACATCTTGTATTCTCTACTTGATTGCCTTTGGGTGATGGGAATGTTTGCTTTCTTTAAGCATAGTTATTGCCTCCTTTAGTTGAGGAATATTTATGACCAAACACTGTACATGTACATTGGAAGGAGCTTTCTGGACTGCATGACAATTCGTTTTCACAAATAATATAATCGCCTTCATAAGTTTCCATTTCAAGGTGATCTGGGCAGCGCATGTTTTTCAGGCCCAAATATTAGCAGATGGCACATTTTGTGCAATCCCATGTTTCTGTGATTAAGTGATCATTGAGAATGTGACTATTTCCCTGCCAGATGTGCTTTGCTTTTGCTTTTTCCACACAGGATTAAGATTCATTAACCAGATATCCATTGAACTGATTGGCAATCCCTCTCAGTTGTGCACCAGTCTGCGTCCTGAATTGAGTGCACCTAAATTCTCATTTTAAATTTAATGATGCTCTCAGCTCACATAACACACTTGAAAACCACCATTGTGGGTTTGACTTGTGGCTGACATCTGCATTTTAAATATTAATATTCTTGCATTGTGATTTTTAATAATTTCTTAAAATTCCTTGTTTACTATACATGTAATAAGTTGACAGATTTGGTTTCCAGGTCTTTCCAATTTAAATGGCAATAAATGGACATTTTATGTAGAATAAAACTATTTTATGCACCTCCATAAAAGCTGTCCCATTTTGCTTGCTCTAAATGACCCTGATTCCTGCTTTTTATTCTCCAAGCAAATTTAAATTGGCTTTTAGATCTGTTTCACACTCTTACATATTTTAGCTATTTTGTGCACCATTTGAGTAAAGAAGCTCTGTTTGCATTTCCTGTTGGCTCCACGTTTCCTTATTTTAATTATTTTCAATTATGTGCCCTATTTTTTTGAACCCTTTGTCAATCCTTGATCAATGCCTTGATAATGTTGAAAATTTCTAGGTCCCCTCAACTTCTTTTTTTGTCTTCTGTTTCCTTATCGTTTTCTCAAAGCTTAGATTACTGATTCTTTGCTTCATCTTCACCAACCTGTCTGCTCCCTCTGCTTGTCAAACACTGGCTTGCTCCAAGTCTCCCGCCCTGTCTGCTCCACTATCGGTAGTCGAGCCTTCAGCCTTTCTGCCCCCTGCCTCTGGAATTCCAATCCCTAGTCCCTCCACCCTTCAAGGCCTGTCTCAAGAACTTCCTTTTTGACTGTGCCTTTGGTCATCTTCTCTCCTCCACCACCTTGACTGCACTTCCTCTCTGAACCCAACCTGCAGCTCTGGTACAAAACTCTCATTGTCCAGTGCCTTGGGATGTCCTCCCAATGTAAAAGCCGCTATATAAATGGAATTTGTTGTTGTTGTTGTTGTCTTGTCTGCCCTATAATGTATACTTTCTCAAGGCTTCTACAACAACAACAACAAGATTGCATTTATAGAACGCCTTTCACGTCGGGAGGACGTCCCAAGGCGCTGGACAGTTGGGTCGGGACCCGAGCAGGGGGGAAATGGTCAGGGTGAGGGGAGGGAAGGGAGGGAGGGAGCGAGGAGGGGGTAGAGAGTCGAGAGGGGAGCTGAAGGCACGATGGTGACTTAATATTGCCATAATATGTCAGCCTGGGTTTGTTTGGTTTGATTCCTATGGCCAATATCAAGTTATAGTAGAAAATCGTTTCCAGTGTTGGGCACACATATGTTTCACATCTTCTTTTGACATTGCTGTTAAAATAAAAAGGGATGGGTATAGATAGCATTCTATTTATTACAGGACAACCCTCAGTGCTTAAGATAAAAAAAAACATGCATTATAATGGGTTTAGTGAAATGGCCCAGTCTTTTTCCTGCAGTGTGGTTTTCACCACTTTCAGTGCGGACTGTAGGAACCAGCCAGTCTGGGACAGGAGCTGGAATTTGCTGCATTTCTGATATCTGTGGTCCACAGGAACCCCAAGCAAACGCTTTGCTGGAGCGAAACATTTAATAACAGGATTGCCCTGTTTCGATGTGTTTGTAGTACGGAACCAAAGTAAATGATTAGAACACTTAAAATTTACACTTTTGGTTTAGTTACGGTATTTAGTTATTTATTTGGTTCAGTTATGTACTTAGTTATGGCATCCACGGATGCCAAGGCATTGAGGAACCTAGGCATCTTGTTCGACCCTCAACTGTCCTTTCTCCTCCATATCAATGCCATGACACGCTCTGCCTTCCCCCACCTCTGCAACATTGTCCGACTCCGCCACTGCCTCACCCCTCAGGCCGCCGAAACCCTCACTCACGCATTCATCACCCCAAGGCTCGACGACGGAAACTCCCTGCTTGTCAGCCTCCCCAACTCTTCCCTCCACAAGCTGCAGATCATCCAGAACTCTGCAGCTCATATCCTGTCCCGCACCAAACTCCATGAACCCATCCACCCCCACCCTCGCCCGGCTCCACTGGCTCTCCATCCTTCAGGATAGAATTCAAAATCCTTGTCCTCACCTTCAAGGCCCTCCGCGGCCTTGTACCCTCCTACCTCTCTGACCTGCTAATCCCCTATCAACTTCTCCGCTCTCTCTGTTCAGCAGGCTCCGGCCTGCTCCATGTCTCCCTCCCGACCTGCCCTACTATTGGCAGCCGGGCTTTCAGCTTCTCTGCCCCCACCTTTGGAACTCCATCCCACAATCCCTTCGCCTTGCTCCCTCTCTTGCCTCCTTCAAGGCACGACTCAAGACCCTACTTTTCGACTGTGCCTTCAGCCGCCCTCCTTCTGCTCTGCCCTCCCTCATCCCAACCCTGCCCACTCACATCCGAGTCCTGCTCCCGGACTGTTCAGCACCTTGGGACATCATCCCGACATGAAAGGCACTTCACAACTGTAATTTTGTTGTTGTTGTTATGCTTTCTCTGCCTCCCCTTTTGGAAAAAGTGAGTTTTGGTACATTTCATATATATTCTGTTGATCTTAATATTTACACCTTCGGGCAGAAAACATTTGGATGCAGATTTGATTCCTAGTTGAACTCCCATTTTTTTCAAGAGTACCACGAGGTTCCAAATCTGGAGGCAAAATGGCATTTTTGAAACCATACCTGTGTGCTTCCTGCTACGAAAGGCAGACCTTGCTCTCACTTGGGCAGTCTGTGCCTGAGACAATTCACAGATTTCAGGAAAAGACTATAAATCCAGCATTTGTGTCACTGCCTTCTCAATGTCTGTGATTTTTTTTAAAAAAAGAATGCTGAGCAGTCAAATGCATAATTTCTCTCCTTGTCTTTTGATTGCTCATTAATGAGTTGTAATTTCACACTTCATTTAAAATATTCTGAAACATTCTCTGTTTAAAAGGTTTCACACAGTAATTAAGGGGGCTGATTAACAAAGCCTGAGGAATTTGCTTTCCTCATGGGGAGTGGTCCTGTTGAATTGTAGCCATTTAATTAACGTGTTTAAGATTACTGGGTAGGCTTTTTATGATACCAGCAAAGCTCAAACTGTTGTGGGTTAATAAGGGGTGGCAAACTGAGAGGTAAGAGTCTAACAGTGTGCTTCTTTGTTTTCAGGTTGAAGATGAGCCTTTCAATCCAGACTATGTAGAAGTAGATCGTATTCTTGATGTTTCTCATAGCACTGATAAAGATAGTGGAGAGGTAAGAATAAAGTAGTTCTTCCTTTTGTTTACTGAGTTCATTATTTTGTAAACACTTGAATACAGGATGCCATAAAGGTCTTATTTATGAATCTCACGTTTTGCATATTTTGTTCGCTATGGGGAGTGATTCTTACAACACTGACATCACTTCCTGCTTTGCGCATGCCCAACAAATGGCCATATCAGTGACCTACTGACTCAGAAGTCAGCCATTTTAGCATGAAAGTTGGCTGACATGAGAGGCGAGGAGGCTGGCTGCGTGCATGCACAGTGAACGAAGCCTGCGGTCCGATTGTTATGACGAAAGGTACGCGATAAATAAATATGTTCTAAGAAGACTGTACTGAATAGCACATCAGGCCTTGCTATTCTGCCAATACATTTTGACAAAATATTTGTAAAATGCTTTTGACCAAACAACTGGTCCAACTTGACACCTTAAATCACAAAAACACTATTTGTATACAGGTTGTCTGTATAGTTTGTAAATGTTTTAAAACAGATATGTAGCAGCTGCATATATTGGTTTACTGGTTTCTTCAGTGTATCAATGTTGTATTCAATGTCAAGTTCTGACAACTGGTGGAGGCACTCATATTTTTCAAGCCTGTTTCCATCAATATAATTTATATAGAAAACCCTATATTTCTGTAATAATTCTGGGAACCATGTTGATGGAACCATCATTTCAGAGAGTTGTAAATCTGAGGCATTAATTTCTCAGTACCATGAATGTGATTTTTCAGAAATTACTACACAGTATATAAGCTGTTTCTTTACATGGGTATGGTTTGTTAAAGGAGCAGTTTTTTTGTGCAACATCATAAGCCTTTAAAAGATATTTTTTGTGGCAATTTGAAAAGTAGTTTTTGTAACACATCCTGATATCTCAGCAGGTAAGTACACCATGTGGTGTAGTTCGGTCATATTGACCGTAAGTTCACCACTGTGACCACTATACTGTATTAGCCTGATGTCAGGAGGCAGGTGAACGGTTCCTACAGTTGAATTAGTATGAGAAAAATCATTCAAGGTTGTCTTTCCTGATTGCTCTCCGTTCACCCCTCCTAAATGTATGGATGTTGAAAGAGGACAGTATCAGGTACAGCCCAACGGTTGAATAACTGATCGACGTCTGTTCAGACTTTAACATGAAGGATAGAGACTTGTGCAAGGTACTGGAGAACTGCCAATTTAAGGTATTAACTCAAGAGAGATAATTGAACAAAATCGGTAAAATGAAAGAAAGCAATGTGCTCCATGTTATAGTATGCTGCCACCTACTAGTGTTGAGCTTTATGTGTTTAAGAATGACTATCCCATGTGGTCAGTAATCTAAACAGTCTGCTGGAATAGGGCCAGGAGAGAGTTTGCACATTCATTTGCTAAACCACTTGTGTTACTGTCGACTTCTGAGGTTTGAGTTAGTGACTGTGTAGGTGGAGAAATATGCTGCATCCTACTGTTCTCTTGTCCTGTGACTTAACAGAAACTCGTTGTACAGAATGCCAATTAACACAGTTTATAAGCAAAAGTGTACCATTCAGAATCTCTGAAGGTTTTCATATCAGATATTTTTTGTGTGTATGATGTAAACAATTCACAGCTTTAAGTAGAACTGCTTGCAAAGATTTTTTTTGGTCAGGCAGATGTCTGATACATATGGAAACTCACAATCAATGCTTAAGAGTATTCAAACCAAATTGAGAGTTCCATGCATCCCATCTATATATGGAAATTCCAGAGATATTTAATGGGATAGAATCTGGACTCTCTCCCCAGAGGGTCTCATCCTGCTAAGATAATTCCAGAGAGTATTAGGTGCAGGTTGGCAAGAGCCAAGGCTTGGGGATTCCAGAATGTGCATTGGGGTACAACTGGAGTCTAGCCAGCTAAAACTGCACAGCTTGCCATTGAAAGCACTGTCTGGCAAGGTTACCCACTGCTTGTCAAGCTAGGACCATCCTACCCATTAGGGATTTAGTTTACAGGGTTAACTGAAGCTGCGTGGGAAGAGTCCTTCCCCCAAGTGCCCTTCCAGTCCGGCTGATGCGCCAGGCTGTGGCTGCCATCAGCAGTACCCTGGAGTACTACGGGCCTGCCTGACTCAGGAATTGGACTACCGAGACCTCCACAGAGAATTGGCACGATTCTGATATTCTATTGCCAAACATGTCACCTTGGGAGTCAGTTCAGCTGCAAGGAGACCCTGATCCCTGCACCCTCTCCCACCAAACCCCCCACTCACGAGGATTGTAAAGATATGTATTACAATATGCTTATTAAAAAAAAACTTATTGAACTCAGACTATTCAAAATGTCTAACATTGACATTTGTATTGTAGAAATTAATATGTAAAAATAGTAGAAACATTTTGCTTTTTAGTTGGATAATCTAAACTTCACTAATTCTTTTGGTTTCAAAACAGCCAATAACCCATTATTTGGTGAAGTGGTGTTCTCTTCCCTATGAAGATAGCACTTGGGAACTGAAGAAAGACGTAGAGCAAGTCAAGATTGATGAATTTGATAACCTACGAGCTGTAGAGCCAAGAACACAACGTGTGGTAAGATCAATCTTCAGTACTTCAGTCAGTGAAGTTGCATTAACAGTTTAAGCATTGTTTGTTTGATGTTATTTACATTATTATTATGAAATAGGAACGACCTCCTGCAACTTCCTGGACAAAATTGGAAAATTCAAGGGACTACAGAAATGGCAACCAACTCAGGGAATACCAGTTGGAGGGAGTAAACTGGCTACTCTTCAATTGGTACAATAGGTGGGATATCATCTGCTTTCATAGTAGTTCGGAGTAGCAGCCAACTTAATTGTACCTGCTTTTCTATCTCTAATTTATTAAACCAAAGATTGTTTTGTAAACGACAGCAACAAAAAGGATGTCCCAAGGCGCTGGACAACCAGTGTTTCGTACCTGAGCTGGGGGTCTGGATCGGGAGGGTGGAGGTCAGGGAGGAAAAGAGAGTGATCAAAACACGGTCAAAGAGGAGGTTTTTGATTCGGGTCTTGAAGGAGGCAAGGGTGAGGGTGAGATGGAGGGACTGGGATGGAGTTCCAGAGGGTGAGAGCAGAGTGGCTGAAGGCCCTCCCATCATTGGTGGGGTGGGCAGCGGGCAAGTTGGTCGGGGGTTAGGAGGTCGCAGAGGTAGGGGGGCAAGGCCAAGGAGGGCTTTGCGGGTGAGGTCCAGGATCTTGGAACTGTATCCTCTGTATGATAGGAAGCCAGTGGAGTCGGGCGAGCATGAGGGTGATAGGGTCACAGAGCCTGGTGCAGGAGAGGACACGGGCTGCAGAGTTCTGGATGATCTGCAGCCTATGGAGGGAGGAGTTGGGGAGGCCGACAAGCAGGGCATTTGCGTAGTTAAGCCTTGATGTTATGAGTGCATGTATGAGCAGCTCGGCAGCCTGTGGTGTGAGACAGTGGCAGAGCCGGGCAATGTTGCGGAGGTGCGGGAAGGCAGAGCGGTTCATGGCATGGATGTGGGGTACAAAGGATAGTTGAGGGTCAAACAAGAGGCCAAGGTTCCAGACTGGCTCAGTGAGGTGGAGTGTGCATTCAAGGATGGTGCTGCTATCAGCACCTGAGGTTTGGAGGTGCTAATGGAGCCCAATAAGGAGGGCCTCAGTCTTGTTGACGTTCAACTCATCCAGGACTTGATGTCTGATAGACATTCTGTCAGAACAGCAGTGGTCCTGGAATCGAGGGTGGAGGCAAAGGGATAGAGTTGGGTGTCATCCACATACATATGGAAGTTGACCCCATGTATGCAGATGATGTCACCAAGAAGGAGCATATAGATATTGAAGCAGAGGGGACCAAGCACAGAGCCTGAGGAACGCCACACAAGATGGTGCGGGGGCTGGAGAAGAACCCATTTGTGGAGATGAAGTGGAATCGGTGTGAGAGATAGGATTTGAACCATTCAAGAACAGAACCATGAAGGTTGAGGTGAGAGGAGAGGCGGTGGATAGAGTGGTCAACTTTATCGAAGGCAGCAGAGAGGTCAAGGAGGACGAGGAGACAGAGGGAGCCCAGGTCGCAGATGCACAAAATGTCATTTGTCACTTTGATCACAGCTGTTTCTTTGCTGTGGGCAGCACGGAAACCCGATTGGCGGGAGAGGAAGGGCGAAGCTTGGAAGTAATGACTTGTTCCAGGACCTTAGAAAGGAAAGGAGGTTGGAGTTGGGGTGGTAGTTTGAGAGCAGGGATGGGTCCAGGGAGGGATTTTTAAGGATAGGAGTGATGACAGACGTTTTTAAAGGGGTGGAAATGGTACCAGTGGACAGGGAGAGGTTTATGATGTCTGTGAGTAGAGGGACGAGGAGGTGGAGCTAGATAAGGAGAAGGGTAGAGATGGGGTTGAGGGAGCAGATGGTTGGTTTCAAAGGACCAGATCCATCAATAAATCGTAATAACTATTAGCATAAATGGTAGTAGAATGTATCTCCATGCATTATTCCCGAGAAGAATTTTAAAGATTGTTTGCTGGTGCCAACTACCTCATGATACCATGAGAATGGTTTCTTTCGCATTCTGGGGAACTTACATGCTTTCATGAAGCATCATTATCTTATTATTATCATTATCTTGATTTGGTGGATCAGAATAACACTACACCTCCCCTTTCCAAATTACATTGCTGTAATATTTGATGTAAATGTAAAATAGAAGGTTCCGAAATTATGGGAATTAAGTTGTACCCAGTTTTTGACATTTGTTAATCCTCCATATCCCAGACTCCCACCCAACCTACTCCAGGAACCAACAGAACAATGGCAACTCCGAGTTCAACAGCTTGGGAATTGAGCTTGACTATAATTCTCCATATATAATACTGAAATGCTGAAAAATAATTTAATTCTGTGAAAGAAACCCCATGCTTTTGATTCTAATATGTGAATTTACCTGAGATATGAATAGATTTCAGCATCAGCAATTTATTTGTAACTTTCATGTTAGGGGGACGTCTCAAGGAGCTTCATACAGCTGATTTGGGGGAGGGGGAGGGGTGGGTGATGAGGCTGTACTGTCAAAAGACAATTTTTGAACACGAAGAGGAAGGGGGAAAGGCAGAGCAACTATTTAGAGATAGAAAGCAAAAAACAATTTTTGAAGCTATGGCATTTAAAGAGTCTTAATATTTTTGCTTTTTTTCAGCCAAAACTGCATTTTGGCAGATGAAATGGGCTTAGGGAAGACTATTCAATCCATCACATTTCTGTATGAAATGTATTTGAAGGGAATTCATGGGCCCTTCCTGATAATTGCACCCCTTTCCACCATCACTAATTGGGAAAGGGAGTTCCACACTTGGACAGAGATGAATGTGGCTGTTTATCATGGCAGCCAGGCTAGCCGCCAAATGATTCAGGCGTACGAGATGTACTTCAGGGATTCTGAGGTAAGGATAGCAAATTACAGAAACGTTCCCATAAAAGCAACGTGGCAAGGCAATTTTATAAACTGAACTGTGTTCACTTGAAACTATTTCAAATATAAGGCTTTGCATCTTTTAAACTTTTTTATTATTTTGTTGATCCTGATTTAGGTCAACTGTTAATGCCCATTTGTTAAATTTGCAGTGATTGCAATACAACTGTCCCATGGAGATCATTGAACTAGACGGCACAAACTATTGGTGTCAAGGATGACACCTTCTGATGGACTGATCAACTCAAAATGGAATAAAACTGCTTTGTTATGCCTAACGTTATAATAAACAATGTGCATTTGATATAGCATCTATAATGTTGAAACATTTCAAAGCGCTTGACAACATTTTCTGTAAAGGTGTTATGACTATTTGTAGGTGAATGCAACAATTTTATGCCATTTTGAGTTGGGTTTGTTGCAAGTAGATCATTTGTGCGTAGACAGTATTTCTTGTCCAATGGCAAAATAAAATCTGCAGGAAATGCTATTTTGTATTTATAACCCTTACAAAAGAAGCTGGCATATAAAAGGCAGTGACTGAAGCATGAAATGTTGTGAGTTATAAAACCATTTGAGGTTCAATTTATTGCTTTGTATATTATGTTCTACTTTGAGTTGCTCTTTGTTAACATATGCACATTCAAGTTTGAGCATTTGTTTTCATGGATTCTTTCCTTGTTCCTACCCCACCCTTGTTAAAATGATGGCTAAACCAAATTTTTACATATGTATTGAAACAGAAATCTTTCATATTGTGCATTTAGACAAAATGGAAAACTTAACTGCTTTTTTTTGTTTAAGGGCCGTGTCGTTCAGGGAGCTTACAAGTTCCATGCTATCATCACTACATTTGAAATGATTTTAACTGACTGCCCAGAACTTCGCAGTATTTCATGGCGCTGTGTGATTATTGATGAAGCCCACAGACTGAAGAACAGGAACTGCAAACTACTGGAAGGACTAAAACTGATGGACCTGGTCAGTACAGTTATTTTAGTAAATCAAATTGAGACAGGGTGGATTTACGTGAGTAATAATTTTCTTCCCCACATCCAAGCCACAACCTGCTCTGCCTTCCCTCACCTCCATAACATCGCCTGACTCTGCCACTACCTCACCCCTCAGGCCACTGAAACTCTTGTTCGTGCCTTCATCACATCCAGGCTCAGCTATGCAAACGCCCTGGTTGTCGGCCTTCCCAACTCCTTCCGCCATAGGCTGCAGATAATCGAGAACTCTGCAGTCCGTGTCCTCTCCCGCACCAAACTCCGTGACCCCATCTCCCCCATCCTCGCCCGACTCCATTGGCTCCCTATCCTTCAGAGGATCCAGTTCAAGATCCTGGTCCTCACCTACAAAGCCCTCCATGGCCTCACCCCACCCTACCTCTGCGACCTCCTAACCCTCTATCAACCCGCCCGCTCCCTCTGCTCAGCCAGCTCCGGCCTGCTCCACATCCCCCGATCCACCTGCCAGACCATTGATGGTTAAGCCTTCAGCCGCTCTGCCCCCAACCTCTGGAATTCTATCCCCCAATCACTCCGCCTGGCCCCCTCCTTAGCCACCTTCAAGTCCCGCCTCAAGACCATCCCCTTCGACCATGCCATCGGCCACCCCCCCCTCCCCTCCCTACTCCCGTCCCTGACCCCAGCTTGGGTCTGAAATGCTGTACACTGTCCAGCGTCTTGGGACGTCCTCCCAACGTGAAAGGTGCTATACAAATGTAATTTTGTTGTTGCTGTAATATTGCAATATTTACCTGCTAACAAATAAGTATGTTATTTAGTTATACACTATCTCTTTTGTGACACGGCTCTAGATGTGCACACCAGAATGTCGCAGTATTATGTTTTGGGGACCAACCAGTTGTCAGCACAAGTAAAAATAAAAGATTAGGGCTTTTTTTTTACGTCTATTTCATATGCTGAAGTCTCCAGAAGGCTAATGGGTTTTCTTTATCATTGCAGGAGCATAAGGCACTACTGACTGGAACGCCATTGCAGAACACCGTTGAAGAGCTTTTCAGTTTGCTGCATTTTCTGGAACCATCTCGATTTCCCTCAGAAACAACCTTTCTGCAAGAGTTTGGTGATCTGAAAACTGAGGAACAGGTATTTTATTTGCTGAGTTGAATGTTGTGCTGATCTTTGCAGAGCCTATGAGCTCAGTCCTGATGTGGGAACCTCGAACATGCAAGAGTGCTAGCAACTGAGCCAGACTGACACCTAATATATGTTGTGTATAGAATTAACCTGAAAATTTTTGCAAATTATTTTGTGAAACATGTAGTTGTACAATATTTTTATTTCAATACTGTACTTGAGACTCTTATATTTGTGGGGGTTCGCAAAAGTGTAATGGTGTAATACAGTGCAAAGAATTTTATTAATAAGTGAGTAAGTTAAAACCTGTAACTTTTGACATTTAAGAATTAATTTAATATTTTGCCCTAGTAACTATGGTATTGAACTACTTATTTATAGTCTTCTAGCAATCCAATGCATTGATTATTCTTTCTGTTAAGTATGTTCTGTAGCATGCTGCACACTCAGAGGATTTAATAACTATTATAGGTACAAAAACTTCAAGCTATTCTGAAACCTATGATGTTAAGGCGCCTGAAAGAAGATGTAGAGAAAAATTTGGCGCCAAAGGAAGAAACCATCATTGAAGTCGAGCTAACCAATATTCAAAAGAAATACTACCGGGCTATCTTGGAGAGAAATTTTGCTTTCCTCTCTAAGGGAGCTGGTCAAACCAATGTGCCGAATCTCCTGAACACTATGATGGAACTGCGAAAGTGCTGCAATCATCCGTACCTAATAAATGGTAAGCACATTTCACTGACCACTCTTTCGGAAGCTACAGTTCTTTTGTGCAGCACTTGGTAATCAGACTTCATCTCTGTTTATACATTATAGATGTATACCAGACCCTCTAAAGTAAACTTTCCCTAGAGGCATACTCAGTAACATCGATTAGTTTTAAAGGAAAACTGAGTGCTTTTGGAAAAGACAGCAAACTGGTCGTAACAAAATGAATATTTTGACATGCAGCTCCATTTTGTTTAACACTTCTGGTCTCCAGTATCAGGACTAGTCTGATCTATAGTTGATCATACCCTTGAGGAAAGCCTAGCATCTGTTACTTTAAAAGCTTTTCTTTAGCGAGGGTGAACTGTGCACTCACAGCGTCCTTTGCACCGTACTGTAAGCTCAACTCAACCAGTAGGCACACATTCACTGTGCTGTGATATGCACAATATTAAGCAGGTCTTTACTACAAGTCTGATTTTAAAGGTTCAAAATCCTGCACCCGCTGTAATGCCTTTTATATTATTTGGTTCCTTGCTGTGTTTTAGAGATTATTTTCTATACTTCTCTGAGCAAATTGAAATCCAAGACCAGGGGAGGGGACCTATTAAGATATTGGCATTGTTCACTTCTTTACTTCCTCAGGGGCTTATTGGATTGTCCTGACGTTTGATCTGGCACCAAGCATGGCCCAGAGAAATGGTCTTTTTCTTAACCTCCAGTTTCTTGCACTCTCCATGGAATATTTCTGAAACTGATTTGTGCTGAGTTTCCCACTGAGGTCCTTGGTTGTTAGGGTTGGTGTCTTTGGATTACAAAAGCTTCTAGTGTTGTATGAGCCAGTTGGCAGAAGTATTTCTTTGGCATTCTGCAGACTTAATTTTGATGACATTTTGCTAATACCAAAACTCTGCAGAGTTAGGTAGAATGCCTTTGCATAAATTATGTATGCACCTGTCATCTTGAAAGGCTTCCATCTTGAAGAATTAATACTGTTGCTCTTTTGCCTGGTTTCTTATTCTGATTTCATAGCATCCTATCACCTTGTGGTGATCTTGGGTCAGCTACAATAGCAGGCAAATTTTTTTCTGTGTGCTAAGGTTATTGGGGTTCTGTTGGATATACAACATTTTTATGGGTGCTCTTTTCTCCACCTCCCAAAAATATACCATTTTGGAAATTTATTAATGCTGAGGAAAAGGCAATTGTTGCATCTATAATACAAGCTTGCACACGTGAGGGGCGCTATACAAATATACCTTATTCTATTGCAGGCATAGTAATCCTTTTTTACATAATGATGTCCTCATGTTTTTCTTTGCCATCATATAAAGAATAGGAAATTAGAGAAAGAAACCAGCTCTCGTTTGAAGAAAAGATGTCCTTGCAGAACAGAAAATTAGATTTTCCTCTGTGTCATCTGTATTAAATCTGTATTAAAAGTGGAATGAAGTTTACTTTAACCCATTTCCTTGAGAAGAATCAATCTTGTATCAAAACATGTATATACTCCCTGTGTATAACATATATACTCACTGAACCGTATTATTACTTTTGACTCTTAATCTTTTGCTAGTTTGGGATTTTCATGAAGACAAACTGCTGTGTTTGATTCCTTATTTTACTGTTTTGACTTTGAAAAATATGATGTTCAGGATGGAAAAGACTACTGTGATCCATCTATCTGGTCTCAAATTTTTTTAAAAAAATCATTCGCCTCACAATATTTTTTGCCAATATAGCTAATCATAACTATTTCTTGAATTTGTTCCCACAGTCTCCCTGCTATGCTGAATAGTCCATTGCCCTTCATTTTCTTGGATTGTAAAATGACTGTTTGAGAATACTGGACTATATTTTATGTATTGGAGTATTTAGCTTAGTGGTTAGAGCACTCCTCTCACAAGTGAGAGGCCTTGGGTTCGATTCCTGGGCAGGGCGAAAAGTTGGACAAGTTTCCTTACGCCACACTCCTCTGTTTACCTAGCAGTAAGTAGGAACCCGGTTGTTAGTCGATTGGCGGATCTGCTTGTCGGCCTTCCCAACTCTTCCCTGCACAAGCTGCAGATCATCCAGAACTCTGTAGCTCGTGTCCTCTCCCGCACCAGCCTCCGTGACCCCATCACCCCCACCCTCGCCCTGCTCCACTGTCTCCCAATCCCTCAGAGGTTAGAGTTCAAACTCCTCATTCTCGCCTTCAAAGCCCTCCTCGGCCTTGCTCTTTTCTACCTCTGTGACCTGCTAAACTCAACCTGTCCGCTCCCTCCGCTCAGCAGACACTGCTCCACATACCCCGCAAGGCCCACCCCACTGTCGGCGGTCAGGCCTTCAGCATCTCTGCCCCTAACCCTTTGAAACTCCATCCCACAGTCCCTACACATCGCTCCCTCCCTTGCCACCTTCAAGGCACATCTCAAGACCCTCCTTCGACCGTGCCTTCGGTCACCCTCCTACCCTCCCTGCCCTCCATCCTCCCCGATTCCAACCCCCAGCTCGGGTCCAAATCCCTGACTGTCCAGCGCCTTGGGACATCCTCCTTACCTGAAAGGTGCTACACAAATTTAATTTGTTGTTGTTGTTGTTTACAACAATAGCAATAATTTACATTTATATAGCACCCTCAAAGCAGGGTAGCGTCTCAGAGCGCTGAAAACAACATTAAGGTAATTTAATCAGCTGAGAGCTCTTACCTCAACATCTCTATGGTCCATTGATATGACACTTATCTTCTAAATTAATATAATTAGAAATTAATTTTCATTAATTGTGAAACTAAATTCTTGAGATTTTAAAATTGCTTTATGAAAATGTAAATGCTTGTTTCTGTTATGGGGGAAAAGCATTTCTGGAGAAAATACTAGATTTCAGTAGTGTGACTGTTCCAATGCAACACATTTTTNCCTTTTTGGAAAATGTATCTTTCATTTGGTACGATTCACATGTGGTTCAGTGCTAATTGTATCTTTATTCTGGTTGGTACTTGCAGGTGCTGAAGAGAAGATTTTAGAGGAGTTCAAAGAAATGCACAATCTTGATGCACCAGATTTTCAGCTTCAGGCAATGATCCAGGCTGCTGGCAAGCTAGTACTGATCGACAAGTTGCTGCCAAAACTAAAGGCTGGTGGCCACAAGGTGCTTATCTTTTCCCAGATGGTGCGCTGTTTGGACATTCTCGAGGACTACCTCATTCAGCGAAGGTGAGACCATCAGTAAACTCAATCAAGGTGTAAATGAAAATTCTTAATTGAGGCCACAGGGTGGCACGGCATATAAATGCACCAATGTGCTGCGCTTCTAAGCAGTAGGGTGTGGGTTCCCCACACAGTGAGTACCAGATCTCAGCTGTCTTGCTGGGAGACACTCTGAAAGGAAGGCCAGGCGCTTCCCCACAGGAGGAAGGAAAGTTGGAAGCAAGTCCCCCAAAGCTGTTCCTGTGCACCTCTTGGCAGCTACCTCAAAGGCAATCTTCTTGAGATCTGAAAGTAGATTGTCGGTTAGTCCTTTCAGCCAGAGAGAGAGTCAGTTTTGAGTTTGGTATTGCATCGCCTAAAATAGTAGAAATTCATCTGAATGGTTTAAAATGTGTAAATGTGGCACAGGGTGATTTTGTTTTCTTTTGTCTTGTATTTTGAGGTGTTGAAGATTGTGCATGCTGGAAATAAAGCTCTTTCTGTTTCTGGCATGGTGCCTGCAGTTGGCACTCCTGATGGTACCTCCTTTCAGGGATGGTACAAGTGAAGCACAAAGTAAAGCTCAAATTAGTGCCTTAAGCTCAGTCCCCTGAGCACCCTCAGTATGCCATTTCCATTGCATGTGCCAGTCTTTGTGGCATATTAGATGACGTAATGCTATTCAAGGAGGGACGACTGTAACTGGGTGAATGTCTTGTGAAATTGACCTTGGTGCTTTTTTTTAGCACAAAGATCTAGAGAAGTTGTATTAGGGTGTAAATAAGCAACTAATTTACTGCAGTCAAATGTATGTTCTGACAACCATGGTTTGCCACATGGCCTCTCTTTGTGGACTCTGAACGAGACTGCCAATTCAACAATACTGAGTTTTAGATACTTTTATGCTTTGAAATTGAAGAGGGTTGAGATTACCCAAACACGTCACCTAGGATAGGTAGAGTGAAAAGTGTGATTCATTTAATCAGGGCAAGGTATAAACACACACCCTAGAGGTGAAATAAAATTCTAACCCAATGTACCACTCTTATCAGTTCCTTTCACCCCCTAATTTGAATACAGTTCCAATTGTGCTCAGTGTAGGCTGAGACTCCAGTGCAATGCTGGAGAAGGGACACTGACCAGTACAAGATAGCAGTGAAGGCCAGCATCCTGAGGGCTCACTATTCCAGGAACCAATTTGACCTCTGTCTATAACGATTTTAACAGAGATCTGCATCAACCATGTCAGTGTCTCTCTGTGAAGCTGTTATTGCACAATTTGTTTGTGGTGGACAAGGCTTTACGAAGGGTAACAGCCGTCAGACGAAATGTCAGACAAGCCGTTGTACATGCTTCAAAGCAAAGCTAAAATTCCCAGCAGAGTGAAACCTTGGGCAAGTTTCCTTACTCCACACAACTGATAATATTCGCTCAAGAAAAAAAACAATAATAAAAATTGGTCACTCAATCCATGACTGTTCGTGGGACACTGCTGTACGCAATTGGCTGCCGCGTTTCGAACACAAATATACAGTCAATTCACTTTACAGTATATTCTGTGAAGCACTTTGAGGAGTCTAGAAGACATGAAAAGCGCTATATCAGATGCAAAGATTATTATATTGTAAAATGTAACACCCGGTGTCATGGAAGCCTCACTTGTGTTAACAAATGAATATTTGACTCATCCGTGAACGACAGGTCACATGAAGTTTATGGTGAATAAAATATTAATTTTCAGAATGTTATTAATTTGTTGATAATACTAACAACTGTCAAGGCAAGTGAAAAATATGATGAAATGGTCACTTTTTCATGAAATCCCTGAGTCCTAATTTTGCAAAATCCTTGGTTTCACAATTTCACTGTAACATTAAAAAATGTCCTCTTATCAGACGTTTTATGTAAGTGAATGCTCAGAGTGAGGTAACTTTCTTTCTGAATCGCATTAGGTGGAATGTGTTTTTTCCAGGAGTAGAGGGCAGTGTGTGTGTGTTTTTTCTTGGTATGACTTAAAAATGTGATTGGTTTTCAAGATAGTACAAAAAGACATCAGATATGTTAGAAAACCTCTGGTGTCCAAAAACTGAGTCATTATCATGTAAATGTTGTGTACCAGTTAAGGCATTTTGAGGTTTTCAAATTGTGGTCAATACTTCAGAAATCTAGCATTTGTTTGAGCAATTTGTTAGCTAAAGTGGCTGGAAGATATATTTAATTTTTGAACACAAACAATTGTTTTTCAGACATTTGTATGAGCGTATTGATGGGCGGGTGAGGGGGAATCTTCGACAGGCAGCCATTGATCGTTTCTCCAAACCTGATTCCGATCGTTTTGTATTCCTGCTGTGTACACGAGCTGGAGGTTTGGGCATCAACCTCACAGCTGCTGATACCTGCATCATCTTCGATTCTGATTGGAATCCACAAAATGATCTGCAGGTAACAACTTGCCTGTTATTCCTTCCACTGTATTTAGTTTTTAGTTACATTGCTAACATTTTTTTACATGTAAATTACAGGCTGACCCAGGACGATACCCCTTCTTACTAAGTTTTGTTCCCCAATAGGCTCAGGCCCGATGTCACAGAATTGGGCAAAGTAAAGCCGTGAAGGTATATAGATTAATAACCAGGAACTCCTATGAACGAGAGATGTTTGATAAGGCAAGTCTGAAACTTGGACTGGATAAAGCTGTTTTGCAGTCCATGAGTGGAAGGGAGAACAATGCCAATGGGGTATGTATACTTCCTGAAGAACTATAGTATAAACTTGTTACCAACAAAATTCTTTGGCCACTTGGTTTTATAATCTATAAGGTCAATGTGAAGATCAATATTTAAGTAATTCAAAATCTTCAGGTCCAACAGCTGTCTAAAAAGGAGATTGAAGATCTCCTTCGGAAAGGAGCTTATGGTGCGCTGATGGATGAGGAGGATGAAGGGTCAAAATTCTGTGAGGAAGACATTGACCAGATTCTCTTAAGGCGTACACACACAATTACTATAGAGTCTGAAGGGAAAGGTTCCACCTTTGCCAAGGTAAAGTTTATTTATAATTTAATTTAACTAAGTAAAGCATATGTGCTTTGATCTGTTATACGTGTATTGACATAAATGACAAATGGTAAGCAGTGAGATCTGGTAGCAGTAAATTGTACCGAATTTATTGTAAACAATGTTTTTTTTCCCCCCACACAAATCTCCTAGGCAAGTTTTGTGACTTCTGGAAATAGAACTGATATTTCCCTTGACGATCCGAACTTTTGGCAAAAGTGGGCAAAGAAAGCTGAATTGGATATTGAAGCAATAAATGGAAGGGTAAGCAGTGTGTTGTCTTGTGTGCATGTTACATAAAAGTGAACTGGTTTTAGTTTTGCTTATACATGCTATCTCTGTTGTAGAACAATTTGGTGATTGATACACCAAGGGTAAGAAAGCAGACCAGACACTACAATGCAATTAAAGAGGATGAGCTCATGGAATTTTCAGACTTGGAAAGTGAGTCTGAAGAAAAGACTGGAAAACCCCGTAGGCTGCAGGACAGGTCCCATGGTTATCCAAGGACAGAATGTTTCAGAGTGGAGAAGAATTTGCTAGTGTATGGGTGAGTGTGTTGCAGAATATATTTGATGGAAGGTTAAGAACCATTTTCTTTGTTTTAATCCCACAGACGATCCTCAGTCTTGGCAGGGGGTAATGCCAAGCAACCTATTCCTAATCCTTTTAACAATATCCTCTCAAAACTAGTTGTCTGTTGATTTCCTAAATCCCTCTGTTGAAGCACTTCACTCAAGGTCCTGCTGAGATCTGGAATCTTGCCTACAAATCTACACCCATCACTCTAGTCAGTGTATAGTGTGCTAAAGATGATTCAATATTCTGTCTTCATCAAAATGTTTGTATGCTGAAGAAATTTGTTTGTTAGAACATTGGTTAGGCCTCAGCTAGAGTACTGTGTTCAGTTCTGGGCACTATACATTAGAAAGGATGTCAAGGCATTGGATAGGCTGCAAAGGAGATTTATCAGGATGGTACCAGGAATAAGGGACTTCAGTTATCAGGAGAGGCTAAAGAAGCGAGGATTATTCTCTTTGGAGCAGAGAAGCTTAAGAGGAGACTTAATAGTTTTCAAAATTATGAGGGGATTCGATAGAGGGAACAAGGAGAAGTTATTTGCACTGGTAGGTAGGTCGGTAACCCGAGGACACCAATTTAAAATAGTTGTTAAAAAGAAACAGGGGAGGTGAGAAGAAAATTTTTCAGACAGCGAGTTGTTGGGATCTGGAATGCATTGCCTGAAAGGGGGGTGGAAGCCGATCCGATAACAACTTTTAAGAGAGAAGTAGATAATTATTTGGGGAGGACAAGTTTGCAGGGCTATGGGGAGAGAGCGGGGGAGTGGGATTGATTTGGATAGCTCTTTTCAAAGAGCCTGTACAGGCACAATCACACCCCAGGCCGCCGAAACCCTCATACATGCCTTCAATACATCGAGGTTCGACTATGCAAACTCAATGCTTGTCGGCGTCCCCAACTCCCCCCTCCACAGGCTGCAGATTATCCAGAACTCTGCAGCCCGTGTCCTCTCCCGCACTAGGCTCCACGACCCTATCACTCCCATCCTTGCCCAACTGCACTGGCTTCTCATCACAGAGGATACAGTTCAAAATCCTGGTACTCACCTTCAAAGCCCTCCACGGGGTCTTGCTCCCCCCTACCTCTTCGACCTCCTAACCCCCTAGCATCCTGTTCACTCCCTCTGCTCAGCGGGCTTGGCCTGCTTCACGTCTCGCACCTTGTTCACCCCACTATCGACGGGCAGGCCTTCCGCCACTCTGCACCCACCCTCTGGAACTCCATCCCGCAGTCCCTCCGTCTCCCGCCCTCCCCCACCATCTTCATGACCCACCTTAAGACCCTCCTCTTTGAACCGTGCTTTCGATCTCCCTATATTTTATATTGGCACTGACGTGCAGTTTTGATTGCAGGGCAATCTGTATCAAGTAATTACGTTGGTTCAAACCAGATTCACCGTGGCTATAAAATACTATGATATCATTCCGAAAGTTACCTAATGTTGATGGTGTAACTGTACATTTTCATGAGTCTTTGTAAGTTTTCACACTGCTCACACAGAAGAACTTCTCTATCCTTGTGCTTCCATAAGCAAAAAGGTTATAAATTTATAGCTATAGAAATGGTGTACAGAATTATAATAGTTTTTTNGAATTATACTGCTGAGTATGTTGAGGCTGCAACAATTGATGTATATGGGAAGCTTTGTTTCCCTGTAGAAAAACAACTCTGCACATGCATTAGAGTAGTAATTTAATATTGTCGATGCATGAACTGAAGCAACGTAGTGATACAAACGAACCCTTGGGAGACTGTCAGCTTCGCTTGAACTAAATGTAACCTTTGCAATATAAAGTGGGTTATATGTTTTAACTATTATCAGTCAAGTATTTGGCACCATTTTGTCGCTTCGAATAAAATTTCCAGCATAGTGTAGATTGGACTAAAATCTTTTCCAGAGATTTACTTGGCAAAGTTTTAAACACTGTGATTTTCTTCCTTTTAGTTGGGGTCGGTGGAGTGATATACTGTCGCACGGACGCTTTAAACGGCAGCTGACAGAACATGATGTGGAGACCATCTGCCGCACCATCCTTGTGTACTGTCTAAATCATTACAGAGGAGACGAAAAGATCAAAGGATTTATATGGGATCTGATTACTCCCACTGAGGATGGACAGACTCGAGCTCTGCAAAACCACTCAGGTATTCTTGAATTCATTTTACCACACCCCTACTTTCGCGATTAATGTGCAAACGAGGAATGAAGCGCTATTTTCTTGGGTGTCCTGGAACACTGAAATCATTAATATTTATACGACATAATATATTCAATGCCTGATAGGGGAAAAACTAATTAGTTGCTAGTTCTTAGTGTAGAGTTGGGTAAGCAAGCATTAAAATGGCACTTTGTTTCAGTTAAAGTAGCACAGTTGGTTGACAGGTGTATCCATTCAAAGGATTTAGTATAAGTGGAATTCAGAAAGTTGACTGGTGATCGTCGTGTGTAATAATTTCAGTGTCAGGTTCTTTTAGAACAACTGGCAGTCGAAACTAAAGGATGCTGAAACAATTGTGATCCAAATTTGATAGAATTAATAGCTGCGTCAAATGTTTTCCCTAAACAAATCAAATTTAGTGGCCCACTGAGTATTTCTCTTTATTTGAAATGTATTAACCAAGCACCTTTTCTGTACCTTGTAAATTGCCGACATTTTGTGAGATTATTCCTGTTTTGTGCAGGGTGGGAATAGGTAAAAACTGAGAAATGACAAAGTAATGGTAGATATCCCATTGAGTAGTTAGACCAGAACAGAAAAGTCACTCTGCCAAAACACGAGTTGGTATATAGACCTAATCACTCATTTGGCACATTCATTAAAATATAAATGCTGAAAAATAGTTTCAGTACATTTGTTTCTGGGAGTTCTGAACTATTCTACTCATTAAATGTGAGTTCTACGTTGACCTTATTGAAAACTTGTGTGGGTTAGGGTTAAATTGTGTTCTTTTCTGAGCTGAGGTGTACTTTTTGTTTATCACAAGGTTTGTCTGCACCAGTGCCCAGGGGGAGGAAGGGCAAAAAAGTCAAAAGCCAGTCCACGCAGCCCATCATGCAGAATGCTGTTTGGCTAGCGAGCTGCAATCCGGATATGTTGCTGCACGATGATGGTTACAAGAAACACCTAAAACATCACTGTAACAAGTGAGTATCAGTCCAACATCATAGCGCTTTTAGAATTTGTAACCACACCAAATGGCAGACCTGAAGTTCCCTTTTGAGTTGCTACTTTTAGTGACATTTACCAATCCTTGTGCCGTAAACTGTAAGTTTAGTTCCTGTACTTTCCGAGTAGATCATATCTTATTCTGAAATTTCAAAACTACGGTGTTGAAATTTCTGGTATGCAATTCAGTTTTTCATCTTTTTTAAAAAAGTGTAGAATAAACCATTGTTTGCACCAAGAGACTTGAAATTAGATTTTGCATATCTATCTTTTTCAGCAACTAATGTTGCTGCTCATTATTCTAAACATGAAGCTGCTTCAGAAGATAGTAAGCAACAGCTGAGGAAATTGCATGAGATAATGGAGCAGAACGCCTACTGCAAGCCATCTGCTCAGTTGTTTACAAACTTACTTGAACACTTTAGAAGCACTGGCAACATACACGTTAAAACTTCACAAACTGAATTAGGCATTACTGAATGAAATGTGTCTGGGCTGCACTGCACTGTGCTCAGTATGTTGAAAGTGGTTGCCAAGCATGGCTGTTGAAAGCCAGCAAAAAGCACCACACAGAGGTGATTATATGCCACCATCTGTCATGCTTCAAGTCTACCATACAGCATAGCTAATCAGCCTTGGCAGGATGATGGATGAACAGAAGCAGCTGCCAAAAGCTAGTGTTGGCAAACAGTACTAATGTTAAGACTTTCTTCCTTTACAGGGTCCTGCTGCGGGTACGGATGCTGTACTATTTGAAGCAGGAAGTGATAGGAGACGTAGCAGACAAAATATTTGATGGTGCAGAAGCAAGGTCAGTAGAATACGTACAAGCTTTAATGTGTGTTTCGGAGGGTCTTTGTATAGTTATAACACAGAAAATATTTTTTACCACACTTTTATTTCCATTGGTTGGTTTATTTTCAATACAACTACCCGATAGCGACAAGTTGTGATATTAATCAGGTACTCTTTACAACCTGTATCTTTCCAACCTATATAGAGCTGTAAGGATGCCCTAAAAGAGAGATCATATTAGCCAAGTACATGTGATTTATTTAATGCAGTTGTGCATCTAAGTAAGTAACTTAAATCATTAAAAAAATCAGTTATCTTAGAAATACATAAACAATTTGACTTAAATTAACGTGGTTTAGAATGCGATTGTGATTTTTTTTAAAAAAAGGTTGAGCCAGCTCATCTTTTGAAACTTTCCCTAGAAAAGGAAGTAACTTGCAAATGTAGTGACCAATTCCTGTTCAAGTCCTTTTATCCTTATTTTTTGATAGATCAGATTAGGCAGCTAATGCAAAATGGATCCAGTATATTAGTCGAGTGACTAAAGTGATTTGAAATTGAACACTGGTCCATTACCAATCTCCGAAAGAATTAGCCTTTTGGGTATTAAAAGGTGGGAGTCACATTGTATGTTAATTACTTTACAAGGATTTAATGCAACAGCATCTACATTTCAGTGGTGTTAGCACTGAATACTTAAATGCATGAATTATACATTTAGGAACCTGTCCAGTTTTGTTCTGCAAATCCAAACAGGAAATAAAATGAGTTACTTAATTTCATTTTAAATCCATTTCTTCATTTGCTTATCCTATCTTCTACTACTGCCATTCTTCTTTTTCTGCTGAAGTCTTTCAGACATGATGCTTTAGGATTTGGAATTCTTGGTGTTTGTTACAATCTACATTGCATAGGAGAGTAGGATATATATGTTTTTAAGATGACATATTAAAACTGAGCACGAGTCAACACCTTCCCCCCCCCTCCTCGCTCCCTCCCTTCCCTCCCCTCACCATTTCCCCCCCCTCCTCGCTCCCTCCCTTCCCTCGCCTCACCCTGACCATTTCCCCCCTGCTCGGGTCCTGACCCAACTGTCCAGCGCTTTGGGACATCCTCCCGACGTGAAAGGCACTCTATAAATGGAATCTTCTTGTTGTTGTTGTTGTTATAGTAGATATAATAGTCAATATGAAATTCTTTCACCTGCTTTATAAGGATTAATTAAGGCTGCCACATAGATTTTAATTTCAGTAGAATTAAATTTCACAATACAAAAATTACTACATACAAGTTTGTTTAAATGTGATTCAAATGATTCTTTGTGTATCAGCCTAGCTCAGTTTGTAACACTCATCCCTGAGTCAGAGGGTGATGATTTACGCCATCAGAACTTTGAACTCACACATTCTCGTCTGAGACTGCAATACAGTGCTTGGAGTGCTGCGTTGTTGGAGGTGTTGTCTTTTAGATAAGACATTAAAAACTGAGGTCATCGTTGCTTGTTTAGGTGAATGCTAAAGCACATTTCAACAACAATTTGCATTTATATAGCACTCTTCACATAGATAGTGGAACACTTAATTCGAAAACGAGAAGGTAGTTTGGTCAATAATCCCGCCTCCCCCCGGCCCCGATAAAATTGGTCATTCTCTTCATGCTATTAGTCAGGCATTGCTGTGTGCAAATGGCTACTGCATTTGTCTACAAAAATACAGACACTAGATTTTGCAAATCCCATGAAGCACTTTGATATGGCCTCCTGACAGTAAAGACACTATATCAATACAGGGATTTTTTTTTAGAATACTGCTGCATTTACTTAGTTATACAGTACATTGAACCATTGTACATTTGGGTCCCAGATATCTCAGAACTGAACTAGGTACAGTCAAAAATCAGCAACGCACAATACGTTGGTTTGGATTCTGGATCATATGTCCCAGAATCCATCATGTAATGACTTGAGTAGCAAGATGTGATTCTTGGCAATCCATGAATATACTTAAAATTTATAAATAACCATCTTAAATTCTGATCACCAGAAGCAAATGTACGCTAGGTATTATTGATAGTTTACAAAGTTCAATACCCAGTTATCTATGATAAAGTTGTGCATTTGAGAACTTCTGTTACTGAAGCAGTATTTAAAATATTCTTCAAATGTAATAAGCCCTTTTTATAAACTTGTATTTTAACTTAATAGTATAAGTAACTATTTTTCTTCAGATAGTGGATTCCTTTGGGAAAATAGAATTACTGGGAACTGTGTCCAGTTTCACAAAATCGGATGGAATCACTTTCCTGAATGAGAGTAACTTTAGAAATGAACAGCTAATTTTAAAAAAACATTAAATCATTTACAATTCCTCAAGTAATTGCTTCCTTCAAGGTAACCTGTATTCTGTGTAATGGATATTGTTAAACAAAAACTGCAGAAACTACTATTGAGGGGGGTTATACCAATCATTTGAAATATTTCCAGCTGACTGTTGGACAAACGTAGAATATTTTTGTTGACTAGTAATTTCATTTTGTTTCCTCCAATTTCTTATTGCATTTTAAAATGCAAAGAAAATTAGTTTTCATAATATTTGTATCTGTGGACTTACAATAACATTTTAATGTCAATGATCATATTTTAGGTAATCAGATTTCCCCTTTGAACATGTGTTTTGGGGGCAGGAATTATCATTTTTTCAAGAAAATATTTTAAGTTTAAAAATTGCAGATCAGCTCATTTATGCTAATGCAGTGTTTTATGTTTTTTTTTATCTTTCTGTAGTGATGTAGACATCTGGATCCCAGAAATAGACCATGCTGAACTTCCCACTGATTGGTGGGATAAAGAAGCTGATAAATGTCTGCTCGTTGGAGTGTTCAAACATGGTATGTAATTCCTGCTGTGAATTGTGCCGTTTGAAGGGCTTGCTTACTAACTCGGTGGGTAAATGCACCACAGGTATAGTACTGAGCCATACATGCCCTGAAACTTCCAGGTTCTACTCCTGTTCAGAAATCCAAGCACTAAATGCTGACAATTTGCAGCAAGTCAATCAGAAAGAAAGAGTTAACCTTTATGGAGGGAGCAAGCCTTTAACATTTTTGACACTTTTTGAAGTTATACACTTCAGAAAGATTCATCAAATTGTCTCATAGAATTCAGAGTAAGTTTTTCTGTTAATATTTCAGAAAGTTAGTTAGTGTTTGAAGAGAAGTAGTTACAACAACAAAATTACATTTATAGAGCGCCTTTGGTTTCCCAAAGCGCTGAACAGTCAGATGTCGGGGCCCGAGCATGGGGGAGGGGTGGTATAGGGGTGAGGGAAGGCAGAGAGGTGGGAGGGAGACAAAGGCACAGTCGAAGAGAAGGGCCTTGAAGGATGCAAGGGAGGAAGCGAGGTGAAGGGACCGTGGGATGGAGTTCCAGAGTATGGCGGCAGAGAGGCTGATGGTAGGATGGGTCGGGCGGGAGACATGGAACAGGCCGGAGCCTGATGAGCGGAGGGAACGGGCAGGTTGGTAGGGAGTCAACAGGTCAGAGAGGTAGGAGAGGGCAAGGCCATGGATGGCCTTAAAGGTGAGGACAAGGATCTTGAACTCGATCCTCTGGGGGATGGGGAGCCAGTGGAGTCGGGCGAGGGTGGGAGTGATGGAGGCGCGGAGCCTGGTGAGTGAGAGTACATGAGCTGCAGAGTTTTGGATCATCTACAGCTTGTGAAGGGAAGAGTTCAGAAGGCCGATGAGGATAACCATAGTTACCTATGGTGTTAAGTTAATATTGAAGTGTGTAAAAGCCTTTCATACAGAAATATAAATGTTTAGCATGTCAGGTAGCTCTATTTGAAGTTGAGTATTTTTGCTGTTTGTAAACTAAAACTTTTTAAGTTTAGGGTGTCATGAAGGATGGTTTTGTTCATTGGTTGTGTAATCTACATTATTTTTGAAGTGTTTCATTGGAAAACTTTGGAAAGTGAACTTGCTTGAGGATTTGAAACTGAAAATGTTGGACAGTAAAGTATCTTAGTACAACTAAACAGTAGATTGCACTGAACTCTGCTCCCACCACTGCTCCACATGTGCTTCCTCTATGCCAGCCAGCACTGGAGTGAATGGTAGCTTAACCTCTGCTATTAATCTGTATAAGTGCCTTCCGGGCTTTTTTCCAAGTAGTATTTCATAAATGTCAGCACTGAGACTTTACCATTCCCTGTTGTGGGATACTGTCTTGTTAACTGTGAAGCACTGGAATGTACAACAGTCACGATGTATACAAAGAGCAGTTCCTAATCATAATCCGAAATCACTAGAGGTCACAGTGGAATTCTCAGTAGTGTGTCCTGACTAGGGGGGCAGAATGATGGCTTATAAAACCTTTCATGATTACAATTTGGCTTGAGGCTCAAGAGTATTTAGGAACAATGTGTCACAGTGCAAAACCTAATTGAATTATGCCATTCTTGGTTGACTGAGGCAGCAGTGCTTATGGACCCAAATGAAGTGGGTCCTGTCTGACAATCATTTTCTCACAGTGCACTGCTGGGACTTGTGTTTCTTTGTTTTCTGTAACAATGAAACTCCTGTTACTTAGCCTAGAGGTAATTGTTGTTTTCCTTCTTTTTAAAATTTCCATTTTTGATTACTGAATTCTCACAACTGATTTTTTTTATTAAAAATGAATTGTGGATTTTTGGAGGGGCGGGGGAGAAAGAAGAATAGAAAACAAAAAGACAAATGCTGTACTGGAACAATAGCATCGTTTCTCTGCTAATTAATTGATTTGAGGGTTGTTGGAGTTTACACATAATATTAGCCAAGCAATAAATTTAGTTCCAAGAATGCGAATTAAGCAAACATGCTATATTATAGTGCACCAGTTACAAGGAATATGCAATATGCTAAGATTTTCTGTGATTTTATAATAATAATAATAATCCTTGAATTTGATATAGCGCTTTTCATGTCTTTTAGACATCTCAAAGCACTTCATAGAAAATACTGTAGGGTGAATTGACTGCATTTTTGTTGGCGAAACGCGGCAGTCAGTTACGCACAGCAGTGTCCCACAAACAGTCGTGGATTGAAGTTACCAAATTATTTTTTTTTCTTGAGGGATTATTATCAGGAGTGTGGAATAAGGAACTTGCCCAAGGTTTCGTCCTGTTGAGAATCGAACCCAGGTCTCTCGCTTGTGAGGCGAGTGCTCCAACCACTGAGCTACAGAAGATTTTGTTTTCAATAAGACTACATAAAGCCTGAACTTAATGATTCATGCAATAGGCCTAAGTTTTAATTGTGTTATATGACTATGCATTTCACTAAATCCAACATGGTTACATTCAACGTTAGTTTCTAGTTAATAAACATCACAGGGGTACTAATTTGCTGTTGGGAAGTACATCTTGTTGATTTGATGACATGTGTTTACGCATATGACTTCTTTCAGGATATGAAAAGTACAACTCTATAAGGGCAGATCCTGTGTTCTGCTTTCTGGAGAGGGTGGGAATGCCTGATGCAAAGGCCATGGCTGCTGAGCAGAGGGGGGCAGATGTGCTGGCAGATGCTAGTGATGGGTAAGCTGTGCTTTTGAGACCAAATGGAAACTTTTTTTTCCCTATTCATTAGGCAGCCTTGTCGAGAATTAATTATAATTGCTGGTCTTTCAGTGCTGATTTTGACAGAGAAGATGAAGACCCAGAATATAAACCTGGCAGAATTCCATTCAAGGATGAAATGGATGTAAGTACAATTCCTTGTTCTAATACTCGATGATCACAATGTTTGGAATTTAGTTTTAAATTAGTTGTTGGGGATTGACTGATTTTGGATTTCTTAATGTGGACCAAAATACTGACAAAACCAATGACAATCTAAAAGAGAATTTGGGAGAAATTACTTCCCGCAGAGGGTAATGTAATAATAATCCTTGCATTTGATATAGCGCTTTTCACATCCTTTGGACGTTTCAAAGTGCTTCACAGAATATACTGTAAAGTGAATTGACTGTATATTTTGTGGGCGAAACGCAGCAGCCAATTGCGCACAGCGGTATCCCACAAACAGTCGTGGATTGAGTGACCAAATTATTATTGTTTTTATTTTCCTGAGGGATTATCAGGCGTGTGGAGTAAGGAAACTTGCCCAAGATTTTGCCCTGCCTGGAATCGAATCCAGGTCTCTCGCTTGCGAGGCGAGTGCTCTAACCACTGAGCTATAGGACTCCTACAGGGTAGTGAGATTGTGGAACTTGCTGCCTGAAGTGGTGGTTGAATCAGGTAGTATAGACATATTCAAGAGGAAACTAGACCTTCACATGAGTGAGAGGGTAATAGAGATATGGGAGGGTAAGGAATGGGTGGAGCCTTATGTGGAGTATCAACCCTGGCACAGATTGGATGGACTGAGTGACCTGTTTCTGTGCTGCAAATTCTTGGTAAATGTGACAAATCTGACTGTTTCTCTAGGAATTTGAGCGTTCTCCTCAAGAAGACAAGGAAGAAGGCATGGATGCTGTTAATTCAGGTGAGTTATTTTTGGCAAAGGGGCCAGCGATTAGTTATTCATTCATGGTTTACCATTTTGCTAACATTGATAAACCAGGTTATTTTTTAGAAGGGGAGAGATTGGAATGTGTTAGCGTCCAGAGGGACTTGGGTGTCCTTGTATACCAATCACAGAAAGTTAGTCTGCAGGTGCAGCAAATAATTAGGAAGGCAAACAGTATGTTAGCATTCATTATGAAAGGATTAGAGTATAAGAGTAGAGAAGTCTTGCTGCAACTGTATAGGGCCCTGGTGAGACCACACCTGGAATACTGTGTGCAGTTTTGGTCTCCTTATTTAAGGAAGGATGTACTTGACTTGGAGGGGGTGCAGCGTAGATTTAATAGGTTAATACCAGGGATGAAGAGGATGAGTTACAAGGATAGGCTGACCAATTTGGGCCTATATTCTCTAGAATACAGAAGAATTAGAAGGGATCTTATAGAAACCTATAAGATCATCAAAAGGCATGATAGAGTAGCTAGTGGGAGATTGCTTCCCCTGGTTGGAGAAACTAAAACCAGGGGTCACAACCTTAAAATCAGAGGCCAGCCCTTTCACACTGAGTTGAGGAAGAACTCCTTCACTCAAAGGGTGGTGGAATGTATGGAACTCACTACCCCAAAGAGCTGTTGATGCTCAGTCCTTGAACATATTCAAGACTGAGATAGATAGATTTCTTATTGCAAAAGGGATTAAACGATATGGGGATAAGGCAGGGTTAGGTTATTAGCTGGAGTTAGATTAGAAGATCAACCATGATTGAATGGCGGGCAGTCTCATGTGGTGTCCCTCAGGGCTCTGTCCTTGGTCCCCTCCTCTTCACCCTCTATATGCTCCCCCTTGGTGACATCATCCGCAGACATGGAGTTAACTTCCACATGTATGCGGATGACACCCAACTCTACCTTTCCTCCTCTACTCTCAACTCCACGACCACCGATGTCCTGACAGCCTGCCTGTCCGACATCGAGTCCTGGACGAGAGACAACTTTCTTCAGCTCAACGTGCGAAAAACCGAGGCACTCCTGATTGGCTCACGTCAGCGCCTCCGCACCTCAGGCGCTGACACCATCAGCATCCAAGGCTGCACTCTCCACCTCTCAAAGCCAGTCAGGAACCTCGGCGTTTTGTTCGACTCTGAGCTGTCCTTTCTCCCTCACATCCGCACCACAACTGGTACCGCCTTCCATCACCTCCGGAACATCGCCAGACTACGGCATTACCTCACCCCTCACGCTGCTGAAACCCTGGTTCACGCCTTTGTCACCTCAAGGCTGGACTACGGGAACTCTCTTCTCGCCGGCCTTCCCGCCACCTCCCTCCACAAGCTGCAGGTCATTCAGAACTCTGCAGCTCGTGTACTGTCCCGCACCAGGCTTCGGGACCACATCACTCCCACCCTCGCTCGCCTCCACTGGCTCCCCATCCCGCAGAGGATTGATTTCAAGATCCTCACCCTCACCTACAAGGCCATTCACGGCCTTGCTCCCTCCTACCTCTCCAACCTACTATCCCCCTACCTACCTGCCCGTACTCTCCGTTCCTCTGGCTCCGGTCTGCTCCACGTCCCCCGCCCCAATCGTCCTACCATCGGTGGTCGGGCCTTCAGCCTCTCAGCCCCCAGGCTCTGGAACTCCATCCCCCAGTGCCTTCGCCTTGCTTCCTCCCTTTCCTCCTTCAAGGCCGGTCTCAAAACCTTTCTCTTTGACCGTGCCTTCAGCTCCCCTCTCAACTCTCTTCCCCCTCCTCGCTCCCTCCCTTCCCTCCCCTCACCCTGACCATTTCTCCCCTCCTTGCTCCCTCCCTGCTCGGGTCATGACCCAAACTGTGCAGCGCCTTGGGACGTCCTCCTGACGTGAAAGGCGCTTTATAAATGGAATCTTGTTGTTGTTGTTGAAGGGCCGAATGGCCTAGTCCTGCTCCTACATGTTATGTTATGTCTTTAGATATACTGTCAACTTCAGTCAATTTGAATATGTAATCCAAGCATAGAATTTGTAATCTGATCATATGTTTTTATTTCCCAGTATACTTGTACTACACTGCTGAATTTCAAGCATGTTCTCAATCTGAATGTGTAGCGAGACATTCAAACATGTTGTGTTTTGGATTTGACTATGTAATAAGTACAATTGTAAACTAAATGATAATACAATCAAATTTTGACAACAAAACTGTGTTCTGGAAGTGATATAGCAGAAGATTAGTTTTCATCAAAGAAAATTTGAACCCAGATTGTCTGGCTTGGTGGTTTCCATAAACTTTTTAAAATATTGTGCTTTCAGTGATCTCAGAGCAGTATGATGCAGGTTGGTTTCTGCACACTGTTGATTTTGCAGTTTCAACTGTTTCAATAGGATAGTGCTAAGTGGAGATTGGGCACCTCCCTACAAGGAGAAGGGAAAATTGCAGAGGAAATCTTTCCATATTTGTTTGTTATTTGGTGGTGGTGTCAGGACCAGCATCAGCTGGCAACGATACTGGCTCTGAAGGACTTGGCCCAGCAAGATCAGACTAGCACAACAAATCTTTCTTCTGAACCCTTCTGTTGAGTGGCAGTGGAAAAATAAAATGTATCATATCCTCGTTCGACTGGAATTGGCTATAACTTTCAAAAGGGAATTGGATATTTACTTGAAAAGAAAAAAAATTGCTAGGGGAAAGAGCAGGTGAGTGGGACTAATTGGATAGCTCTTTCAAAGATCCAGCACAGGCATGATCAGCTGAATGGCCGCCTCGTGTGCTGTAGGATTCTTTGATTGTATAATTTTCTGGTGGTCTGTGAATTGTCTTTGTTTTATTCATTCATTCCTACAAAAGGAATTAAAGATTTTGCAAGAGCTGGAAGCCAGACCAATAGTATCCTGTGTATCTTTTTTTTAAGAATGCACTGATATATATATATATATTGTAAATTTGTACAACAAGTGTATAAGTAGCCAAATTGTAAAATCTTGGAGTGATTGTTAATCAAATACTGCTTACTTTATTTGTTCAAATGGCAGAATAGAAACTGAAAATTAAATCTGTTTATTTAGTGACTCAGCCTAAGATTTCCTACTCTTTCAACATATTGTGATTGAAACCGTTAACAGGCTGAAACCTTATTCAATATTTTACAGGCAAACAAAGTGACCAAGATGGCGAATCAGACAAACTCTACTGGCCGAACACATCAGCTCTCACAACACGCCTGCGTCGTCTTATTACAGCTTATCAGCGTAGCTATAAGAGGGAGCAAATGAAACTAGAAGCACAGAACAAAAGTGACCGGCGCAGACGTCGACCAAGAGATGAAGTGCGAGCTCGGGAAGCAGAAAGAAATGCAGCGATATCAGAAAAGCGTCAAAGGTAGTATCAGAAATTACACAGTCTATAAGGTTTAAGTCGTGTTTCACAATGTTATTTTATTCTTCTGTAACAACTTGTGCTGTGCCGCTTATTTCGTTAGCATGTGTATATTCTAAATGTTAAACAAAATTTACAGTCAATTCACTTTACAGTATATTCTGTGAAGCGTTTTGCGACGCCTAGAAGACATCAACTGCAAAGATTATTATTATTCTCGTATTGAAATGTTAAACAGTTCATATTATTCTGAATGAAGGTTTTTGTACAAAACTGTTATTTTAAATAGTTAGACTATAAAAGCATTTTTTTTAAAAATCCCAAATATTGCATTGCAGATGGACCAGGAGAGAGGAGGCAGACTTTTACCGTGTGGTATCAACCTTTGGAGTAGTGTTTGACTCTGTCAAAAAGCAGTTTGACTGGAGCCAGTTCCGTGCCTTTGCAAGACTGGACAAAAAGTCGGATGAAAGTTTGGAGAAATACTTCAACTGTTTTGTAGCTATGTGCAAAAAAGTGTGTCGTATGCCTACAAATTCAGATGAAGGTAAGACTTTTCAAAATGTTTACTTTAGTGACATAGAATCACAGAACTTTATTGTACAAAGGAGGCCATTCAACCCATCAAGTCTATACTGTCTTTCAGAGCAAGATGTTCATTCAATCCCACTCCCTTGCCTTATCCCCATGCCCCTTCGAGCCTCTATTACTTCTGTTGGAATATTGCATCTGCCTGAAACATTTCAGCTATATTAATATCCCATCATACTATACTTGGGCTGCAGATTAACAGTGAGTTTACTACTTAATCACAGGAGCTGTTTAACTACAAGTGGCTCAGTGCCTATTTTATGGTTTGAAGTTCAGTTGTCTGACCTTTTATCTGGAGCTGTACTGTAGAAGTTTTGTATCAAACTTGTTGAAAAATGGGTAGTGTAAATCTAATATTGATCTGCAAATTATAAATCAGAAATATTAGTGTAGTAATATAATACTCCAGTGCATGGACTGACTTGCGGGCAGCTGCTTATATCAATCGATGGGAGTGGAGGGAGACGACAAGGTCTATTCTCGCCTACCGTTAACACCTTTTGGCTGGTGGATTAAATGAGCAGGAAGAAACAGGAGTATTGTTTACATCATGGTATTGGGTTACTCTGTTCTCCCTGAAGGTGCTAACAAAAATCTTGTTTGCACCAGTCAGATTATACCATCTGATTAAACTCATGCCTTCTTTAAAAAGCACAAACGTTTCATATGTTTGGTGGCTCTTAACTTGCATTAGTATGTGGTGTTATTTAGCCAAAGCAGCAGAAGTGTCATTGTTAATTAATTAATCTTTGCATTTGATATAGTGTCTTTCACATCAGGGAAACATCTCAAAGTGCTTCACAGGATTTTATTGAAACATGCAGTGACTATATTTTATAGGCGAATGCAGCAGCCTATTTGTGCACAGTATTGTCCCACAAACAGTCACTGTTAGAATAAACACACCAGTAATTCTTTAAAACTTTAACTATACATCATCAGGAAGCTAAACATACACACCAACAGAACATTAACGTTTATTGTAAGAACATCAAGTGTGTTTGTAGGACAGGGATGGACCTGTGGCCTATTTTATTTGCACTGATTCTGTCCCCTCACGATAGCTACTATAGTGATAAAGGATTCCTCATTGACTGTCTGGAAATGATTCAGAAGGCTCAGACCCCATCTGTGTAACTGCCTACCAAGAGGATGGTTTTGTAAAGTTCATCCAAAGAACCGGCTTCTAAATTAAACCTGAATTTAAGAATTTTCCACAATTCTGTATAACCTTGAATTTTAAAGATAAAATAGTCTTGCAGGCCAAGATTAGATAGAATTGCAGCTCTCAGAGCCACACCCATTGAATGCTTATCCACAGTTTTGATTGTTTGGGAGATGGACTCCAACGATCTTTCAAACACTCTTTGGATGTAGTTTTCAGACACTTCTCTACAATATATTGGAGTTGAATATCAGCTAAGTCACTCCATCTTCAGTTTTTCTCGATGGCTCAGCAATATGGGTATTCTACTGTGCGCAAATTGGCTGCTTTGAAGTCCTTGAAAAGATTCCTCCTCAAATTGCTCTGCAATTGGTTCTAAGGAAATCTGATTGGCCTCCTCCTTGTCCCCCGAGTCCTCCACCCCACCATCGGCCGCTGTGCCACTATGCCCCGAGGCTCTGGAACTCCCTTCCTCACTCCCTTCGCCTCACCCCTTCTCTTCTCACTTTCACGTCTTGGCTGAAGACCTTTCTTTTCGATTGTGCCTTTGGTCACCTTCCTCCCCCTGCCTCGGCCCCAGGATCCGTTACTGTGAAGCACTCTGAGACGCCGTCTAGCATGGGGGGCGCTATATAAATCCAAGTTGTTGTTGTTGAAATCGGGAATGAGATAGGTTCTGTATTAGTTTGGGAAGATATTTGAGAATAGTTTGGTTGTGGTTCCCCACATTGCGTCTCCAGCACCTTGGTTTAGACCCCTTCGGTGGAAGTATAACTAGGAACATTATGAATGTGAGGGTTGTGATGTTTCTATAAAACAGATGGGCTTACTCCTGGGAACGTTATGTTCCTTGCTTAAATTCTTAGCTATATTGAACTTTGAATAATCTTTGAATATTCTAGGATTTGTTATATAAACAATGCAAGTGTATAAAAGCGCATAGTGAAAATTCCACCCAAGCTGACCCCTTTAAAATATACTTGCAGCCAAAATGGACTTCAAACCAAGTAGTTGGGCCAAGTTTTCCTCAACCAGAGTCAGTGATATAATGGGCCTTTTGAAGATTTTAGTCTGCAGAACAGCTCTATGGCCAAAGAGCCTTCATCTGTACCTCTCTTGTGATCTTCTGGATGTCAGCATGTAATGAATGTTTCAACATCTTATATTAATAACTGACCCTTGAAACGCTCCCGACTTGATCCCTTGATCCACCAGATCTCTGACCTTCTCCATTAAAACTTCATCTGAGCTTTACCCACGTTCATTTTTCTCCCATCTCCACAATAATACCCACCTCACCACTACCTCACTCCCAAGCAGCCAAAATCCTCATGTACATCTTTGTCACTTCCAGTCTCAGCTCCACCCTACAGAACTCCTCAGCCTGCTTTCCTGCCTTAACTTATATAACTGGGTTTCATGTATTCTGACTTTGAATTGCGATCATGAATTGCATAAACTGTGAAATTACGATCTATTTTTGATATTTGTCGACCCTTGTTCTCTCTTTTTTTAAAGAATCTGATACCAGCATATTTATTGAGCCGATCACGGAGGAACGTGCTTCTAGAACCTTATATCGAATAGAGCTACTGCGAAAGATTCGAGAACAGGTTTTGCGTCACCATCAGTTGGATGAACGACTCAAGTTGTGCCAGCCTAGCATGGACCTGCCTGAATGGTGGGAGTGTGGCAAACACGACAAGGACTTATTGATCGGTGCTGCTAAGCATGGAGTCAGTAGGACAGATTACCATATTCTGAACGACTCTAACATCTCTTTCCTGGAGGCCCATAAAAACTTTGCTCAAAACAAAGGTGCTATCCAGCGGAGCAGTACGCCTTTCCAAAACCAGCCTGGTGCCTGTCTGAGCCAAATGCCTTCCATTGCCCCATCCACACCAGTTGAGGAAGAAAAAAATACAGAACAAACCGACTATGATGAAACTAAAACTGAAGAGGGTCTGAAAAGTCCTACGCCGTCAATTCAGGAGGACCAGGAAACTGTTCCTCCTAAAGAGGAAGAGAAGACAAATTGTGATGAGGACAACCATGTTGGTTCTGAATGTCAGGATGATTTAGGACCACTGTCTGTGAAGGTCGAGTGTGAAACTAAAGAGAGTTTAGCCATGGATGCCGATATCCTTACTGACGTGGAAGAAAAGGAATTCAGACCTAAATTGTCTTTTGAAAAGGGGTCAGAGGAAGATGATGATGATGAAGATGAGGAAGAGGATGGTGATGATAAGTCAGAAGAATCATCTCAGCCTGAAGGTAAATGCTGTTTTGTTCATTTTGGGTTTGGAATCCTATCTAATAATTATTGATGCATTTATACATTTGTGTTCTGCTTATATGGGCAAATACCTAAGTTTTGAAATATTTTAATTGGAATCTTTTTTAATATAGATATAAAATTTTGGTTTTCAAGAACTAAACCACTACAGCCCTAAAATCATAATATTTTATGCCATTTAGTGTTCAGAATCCGTTAGTTTAATGTGACACGGCCTTAAATAGAAGACATGTAAAGTGTCTTGAAATTTTCTACACACTGTTTCAAATTATTAAGGATCTTTAACCTATTTTAAGAATTGAGGACCTTAAGATGCTCACATTTCCTTGCAATACCTATGTTTGGATTAATTCCTGTGTAATGACAGTGAGCAGAAAAGAGATGCCTGAGGCAACACTGCTCATGCTTTACAAGTCTCAAGAGTATGGTGTTCTTTTAAAAAATGATCTTCACATACAAGTAGTTCAAGAGGATAAAGTGAGGTTTGATTTTCAACTTTGTACATACTGTGACACAAAATGTAAGTAGAACAATAAATTCATAATGTTTTACTTTGTTTGAGAGTTAAAATTTCTTATAAGAGCCCACTAAGCTCAAAGAATTTAATTGGGTATTCACTTCACAATAGATTCTTAATCCTAAATCTGAATTCTATTATTGAAATGCAACAAAGAAAGGTCCATTTCAGAACAGAGGGCTGTTTTGTACATTCTCTGATACAGGTTGAGAATAATCGGGGAGATTTCTAAAGAGATGTATTTGTGATCCTATTTCTTATGCCCCTCATTTTTCAGTTGACTAAATCACAATTATATTGAGTTTGTGGGTTCTTGGAAATAAGATGTGGGTTTCGCCCACAAAATACACAGTCAGTCTACTTTACAATATATTCTGTGAAGCCTGTATGGAATCTCAAAAATGTGATCAAGCGCTATATCAAATGCAAGGATTATTATTATTATCACTCTTGAATTAAAACCTTTTCTAAACTGGGATTCCTAGCCTTTCAGACTTGATTTAACAGATCTAAAATAATATTGTCCTGTGGTATATACCTTGTGTCTATTATCATGTGCCAGTGAACATAAATTAAAGATTAGAAATTGTGTCTGAGGTAGAATTTTCCAAAGGAAACTAAGCAAGGAATTTGTAAAATATACTTGAAGTGCTTAAATTGATTTTGATTGTTGATTACACGATTGAACAAAAAGAAGAGCACAATCCCATTTTGTTAACTTTCAGTGTAGTGTAGTGACATAGTTGCTTTGTATTCAAACTGCATGGTTTTCTTCTCAGCTGGACCTGCTTCTCAGGGCAAAAATTTTGATGAAGAAAGTAATGCCTCTTTGAGCACTGCCCGCGATGAAACTCGTGATGGATTCTTCATGGAGGATAGTGAACCTACAGTAGCTCAACTACTTCACGAACGGACATTTTCCTACTCCTTCTGGCCAAAGGTTTGTTGAATTTCAAATTGATGAGTTTATATCTATATAACAGGTATAAGTAAAATTCAATTAGAAACTGTTTGAAAAATCTTCTTTCTCTCCCCTCTCACCCACCATTCTGTCCCCAGCCTAGAGTTTGGTGCCTATTCTTAACCTGCCAAACATCAGAATGTGCATGAGAATGGTTCAGAATGACTTACTTGACTTGTAATTTACCACTCACTCTGTCAGAAAATATCTGGCCTTGGTTGGTGTGTTTCCCACAGGCCAACTGTTGAACTTAAAAGCTCAGTATTTGGGAATTTGGAAGCAAATCTAACCACTTTCCGACATGGCCTATTGTTGCCTCTGTGTTGGACCATCAGATGGCAGACCAAGCTTTAAGTGTTGATCTGTGTCTGGCCTCTCTTCCACCCATTGTTCATATTTCAAACCTTTGGGACCTCCACATACTCATGCATATGGTATACATTTCTATTAATCCCCTAACTACTTGAAAAACATTGTAACATAGATTGTCACAAGAGTGGTTTTACTTTATCCCAAAGTTACATGACTGGATGTAGTATTTGTTTAACTGGCCTTGTTATTTCTTTGATTTGGTATCTAAGTATTGTTCTAATAGTTTGTGCTTTCAAGTATTTCAACGAATGTACCTTTGCTCCCCAGGATCGTGTGATGATCAATCGTTTGGACAACATATGTGAAGTTGTAATGAAGGGAAAGTGGCCTGTTAACAGGCGCCAACCATTTGATTTTCATGGTATAATCAACTACACACCCTCGTCGGTGGAAAGCCCTCTGCCAAGGAGGAGTTTCACTGAACTCTCCATGGTCGGTCAAGGAAGCTTCAGTGCCTGCGAAGATATAGCTGTTTCTCCTCAGATGTCAAGGGTAGGTGTTTAATTTTACTTTTTGCAGATTGGATAAAGTGGCAGTTCAGAAAGAAGGTTTATAGTAAGCTAAGCCACATTTCTTTAAACAGTTAGTCTCATGTTGCTTTCCCTTTGGTGCCTTAATGTTTCCTAGCTCATGTGAGGAAGAAATTGTACTTAATTCTCAGAACCTCCACATACCCTACGATTGGAACACTTTCCCTTTGAGAATTTCACATGATCCTGTGTTTTATCATGCGATTCTCCAGGTTGCATTTACAAATGAGTTAAGTCGGGTTGCTAGTTTATTTTTCCTCTGTTGACCACTACAGATTAAGAGCTGCTATTTCCTTTCACTTTCTGGCTTTGATTTTTCTCTTGCTCTGGTTAGATATCTCCATAAATCTTCAGCATTGCTATTGTGGTTTGTCAGTATATTAAGAAAACTTTAGTTCAGTGATGCATGATTTAGGAATACTTGATGAAGGCATAACATGGCAGACGTTTGAGGTGGGAGGGAGAAAGGAAGAATATCCATTCCTAATATTAACATCTCTCATCTTCGTGAACACACAATTCACAGTGTCTAAGCACGGGGTACATACTTTATGTTCTTGGAACTTTGCAATTAAATAAAGCTGTTCTTCATGGACAGCAAGTACAGGTTTAAGAACTCAGTATATTCTGCTCCAAGTAATTGCACACATTCATGCACATTTTGAGTAGAGATTAATATTTGATATGTGTTCCCTCTGAATTTAGTATCAAGTAATAGTATAAAATTACTGTAAAACCTGACTGAATTAAAGCACATTTTAAAGTTTACAAAAATCTGTGTTTTTTTGTAAATTCATTACAATTCTATAAATCTAGTTGACCCTAGATTATGGGATCAAGACTGAAGGTAGCACTTGCTCCTATTTCAATTGATTATAGCTGTAATTAAATTGTTGCTTTTTAGCTTTTTTGTGCTGGGGACAGTTCGATAAATACTCTTAACGGGCTTCAATTACATTTTCTAAAGGATTTTCTTGACCTGTTCTCTTTAAAACAGTAACTAAACATTACTTGTTCAAGTAGCATTTCAGAACTCTGCAGCTCGTGTACTGTCCCGCCCCAGGCTTCGGGACCACATCACACCCACCCTCGCTCGCCTCCACTGGCTCCCCATCCCCCAGAGGATTGATTTCAAGATCCTCATCCTCACCTATAAGGCCATCCACGGCCTTGCTCCCTCCTACCTCTCTGACCTACTATCCCCCTACCTACCTGCCCGTACCCTCCGTTCCTCCGGCTCCGGTCTGCTCCACATCCCCCGCCCCAATCGCCCTACTATCGGTGGTCGGGCCTTCAGCCTCTCAGCCCCCAGGCTCTGGAACTCCATCCCCCAGTGCCTTCGCCTTGCTTCCTCCCTCTCCTCCTTCAAGGCCGGTCTCAAAACTTTTCTCTTTGACCGAGCCTTCAGCTCCCCTCTCGACTCTCTTCCCCCTCCTCGCTCCCTCCCTTCCCTCCCCTCACCCTGACCATTTACCCCTCCTCGCTCCCTCCCTTCCCTCCCCTCACCCTGACCATTTCCCCCCTGCTCGGGTCATGACCCAACTGTGCAGCGCCTTGGGACGTCCTCCTGACGTGAAAGGCGCTTTATAAATGGAATCTTGTTGTTGTTGTTGTTGTTCAGCATTTACATCCTATTTTAATTATAGTTTTTTCAACTGTGTAAAACCAATATCTTAGAAAGGTTGTTGATGTTATCAAGGTAAAGTATTTCCTTTAATGGTGATTTGATTTATCCATGTAAAGGTAACAATACTTTATTTCACATTGGTTTTGCCTACAAAATAAACATCAATCCATTTTGCAGTATATTCTCTGAAGCATTTTGAGATGTTGCAACAATGTGATAAGGCTGTATACCCAATGCAAGGAATATTATTATACGTCTGTAACATTGCTGCTGTTCTCCATTTAATGTCTGTATCCTGTGCTTTTCATTGTAGGAAGATGCATTGAATTTGTCAGTTCCAAGACAGCGTAGGAGACGACGAAAGAAGATCGAAATAGAAGCTGAGCGAGCTGCAAGAAGAAGAAACCTAATGGAGATGGTAGCTCAGCTTCGCGAGTCCCAAGCAGCCTCAGAGAGTGGACAGGAGAGAGCTGTGGACTTATCAAAAGCCTCTAGAGAGGCAAAAAGTTCTACCTCAGTCAGTACCGCTTCTGTTACTCCCAAGTTTGTTTTGTCGAATGCCTCTGTACCAGTGTCTGATGCCTATAAAGCCCATATTGAAATGCTGCAAGCAGGCCTTTCACAAACGCCAACTAGACTTATGATAAATGGTTCACTAGTTGATGGGGAAACACCTATAAAAAGGAGAAGAGGAAGAAGGAAAAATGTCGAGGGACTCGATCTCCTATTTATGAACAACAAGCGCACGTCATTAAATGCTGTAAGTAAACTGTTTTTCCAAGGAGAACTCACCTGATTTATTTTTAAACTCCATTTATTTATAATTCTTGCAAAACTTAAAAATGGCTTCCCAAGTATGAATAAAATTGCTTTTTGTTTTGGTATATATCATTTTGAAGTTTCCAGGATGTGAGAATGGTTTTCATCCTTTGCTGCAAACTTTGTAATCCCCAAAGTGGAAGGAGGTACATGCAGCAAAGAAAATTTCTCTCCGTGCAATGTTGTATTTCCAAAGAGCGCTCTTGTTTTTGCAACACTTTTTGGAGATGAGAAAATTAAACAGCATAACAGAAGTGTGCTTCTTATATGCAGATCAGCAGCATTGACAGTGCCAATCTTGCTGCTGAACATGTAAGGGGAGGTGACAGTGGGAGGGGGGTGCAATGTGCCTTTTTATGCTTTTTTCTTCATTCACATTTGTGTACTTTCAACATTTTCTTAACCAGAAAATCTTAACGGGAAAGGTTGCACTATACTTGCTCTGTCTGCCCTACATATAACACCTCTTTGTTGCAGCAGGTTTTTTTTACTATTTCGAGTGACTGCATTTTTTTGCTGCACTCATACATGATATTTCTTAAGTAGTACATCCAAGTTTTAATTCAGAAATCATATATTTTTCTACTTTGATCTTCCTATTTTATATCAAGTAAATAATACCACTTTTTTTTAAACTGTTCATTTTACAAACTGAAAACCTTGAAGCATGCATCCAACTGCTTCATGTTTTGATGTTCAGTAAGATTATGATGCTTGCACTAAAATTGGATCTTTCATATCAAGAAGCACTTAACAGGATTTACTGTAAAATGTAATGACGGTGTATTTTGTAAGCAAACATGGCAACCATTTTACGCACAGCAGTATGGTACAAACAAGCATGAAGTGAATGACCAATGATCCCTAAGGGATTGTTGGCCAGGACAGTCTGACATATAGTTTATAAAAATGGTTATTAAAAAAAGGTCAAATGGAAATGCTGCAAGCAGATCTATGATGAACATTGACTGAATGTATACCACTTGGTTGCTAGTTTATATGAGAAAGATCCATGAAACAAAAAGAAAAAATTATAAAATCATAAAAAGATTTCAACACGGTAGGTTTAACAGACTCTAATCTCATTTCCATTCATATTCAATGACCCTCCCACACTGTAGATTGGCACCTGTTCTAGACGCATTCTCAGCTCCTTAGATGAGGTGATAACAATGAGATTGGCTATCTGCCACACAAGCATTTGAAATGCATACATGCATTCTAATAGCTTCAACAATACTATAGCTCAGTGGTTAGAGCACTCGACTCGCAAGCGAGAGACCTGGGTTTGATTCCCGGCAGGGAGTAAAGTTTCTTTACTCCACACGCCTGATAATAATCCCTCAATAAAAAACCCAATAATAATTTGGTCACTCAATACATGACTATTTGTGGGATACTACTATGTGCAATTGGCTGCAGTGTTTCGTCCACAAATATATAGTCAACTTACATTAAAGCATATTCTGTGAAGCGCTTCGAGATGCCTTGAAGACGTGAAAAACGCTATATCAAATGCAAAGATTATTATTTATATAATTTAAGTGAGAAATGAGCTGTGGGTTTTTGCAATTTGCATCATCTCGTAAGGATAAAGCCACCAAACCTATGAATCTAAATATTGTGACTTGTTCAGAAAGTACAGATATATTTGTTTTCCTGGAAAATGTCCCATATCTTGTTTATTCCTGGAAGATAAATGGTGAGTTTCTTTACAGATTGTATACACAAGATTTCCTCTTTGGTTGTAGGAATTCTCTACCACCTGTCAAGCCTGAAATAGAAAAAGCGAAATTCTCCTAAATAGTTTTGTGGTATCATGCATTAGAAGAGAGTTGAGTGCCAGAAAAGACTTGATCATATCACATCTGATAAATCCAAGATGGAATTTTCTATTAACAGAATAATTACTCTGTATGTAGATGTCTAACTGAGTAGCTTTATATTCCTAAAATAGGCAGGCACTTGCAAGTCCTGCAAACTAGCTTGTTAAAACCACCGCAATCCTTGAAGAAGTGCTGCCACACTGTTTATGGGAACCTAAAATTCAGACTTCAGAGGGTCAAGGTATACACAGACCCAAACCACAGCCTTGGGGATAACCTTCTATATTTAGCACTGGTTCCAGTGTGGGTAGTGCAAGAGTTACAACAATGGCCAATTGAACAAAAATTAGCCATGCAATTTGAGATTATGGAAATAGACAATATCATGGATTTGAGCCATCCATTCAGGAATTTTCCAATGAAAAGATCCTGTGGGGGTTATTTGTTCTATGTTTGTGTGAAACTGTTTGATACAAGTTTTGCTGGTGTTCTGTTGGATGTTTAGCAGTACCACAGTCAAAGCAATATTCAGGGGTGACAAGCCAATGGCTGCATCCATATAATAGCCCCGTTGATCATCAGTCAGTGGCCTTCACACTTTGGCTGCAAAGTAGATACAGTTCTGTATTGTCCCTGAACTATTTATAAAAATGTTGAAATTGAGCAGTCCTGCAACTGATGTTGGAGGCTCCTGAAGCCCTAATGCCTTCTCCCCAGGTGGAAGTTGATGTATGATGTTGATCGCTCAGTAAATCTTTCAAAGACATTAAGACTGCTCCCCTAAGCAATTGCTACCTCTGATTGATTTGTTTCCTGACAAGTAAGAAAGCTTTTTTTTACACAGAGCTAGCATAACCCTGCAGCATCTTGATACAAGTCTGTGGTGTTTTGGGGAAGGGGGCTTGTTAGGGACATCCTTGTCAGAATCTGGGGTGCTACATTTCTGGCCTGAAACAATCTCAAGAGAGAGTATTTTATTAAGGCACCAGAATAAACTAGGGACATGCTTCCCACCTCTGGAGTTCTTGAAGATTGAAGGCAAACTGAATTGGTATAATTAGAATCGCCATTGGAAAGTGTCTGTAACATTCGATGCAAATCTTAAAAACAGGAAATGGTATCAGGCAGAGGTTGAGAACAGAAGTGGGCTTAAACAGCCTGAAAACAGGATAGATGCAATCAAAGTCAAAATGAAAGTTTTTGTCTTTGAATTTGCTCCGCTCGACTGAAGGCAACTTTAACTTGACCTTTGTGCTGGAGATCTATGCGATAGGCATCCTCTGGTGCCACATTCAAATGGTCACTATTGATGTACAAGCCTTGAGAGTGACCTTTGGCAGGCTGTTCCTCCATGGGAGGCATTTGTACACAGACTGATTTTGCCCTCACCACATTGACTTACTTGCACCTTCAGTCAGAGGCCACGAGATAACTGGGAAGTTATTCAAAATTGCAACTTTCTAATCTGTATGGCCCAATGCTGCACTGTGCAATACCTTCACCCGTTAGGCAGTTAGAGGAAGTGGTAAAAATGAAAGCTTTGAATTCAGGAAGAAGTCTGTGAACTTTACCACTCTAAAAAAAACAATATAACCAAATTTACCTGTACTTAAAAGATAATGTTTTTTTTTAACAAATCTATGTGATGGAACATAGATTTTCAGGTGCACTAACCAAAATTTAAGACTGCTACTGCCACAGGAGTAACATATCTAAGAATATGCCTTGAACAAGGTCATATGCACAGTTAATAGATGGGATTAATAGTTGTGTATAGTAGAGAATTCCTACAAAGGGATATTGTCTGGTTACTCTCCATAAAAATGTCACATTCAGTTTATATTTATTTAGAGACTGCAGAATTATTTTTATTTTGGGATTCTTAGGCAATAATTACTGATAGTATAGACATTTCATTTCTTAAATTACTTAGACTAATAATCTCAATGATACACATTCAATGCAGGATGATGCAGAAGTGACCAAAGCCTTTGAGGAGAGCACACAGACAGCATCACAACCAAGAAACATTCCGTCCCCTGGTCAGTTGGATCCAGAGGCTCACATCCCTGTCATTAACCTAGAAGATGGGACCAGGCTGGTGGGAGAAGAAGCTCCCCAAAATAAGGACTTGGTGGAATGGCTTAAAGTTCATCCAACTTATACTGTGGACATGCCAAGTTATGTACCAGTAAGTATAGGACATATTCTAAGAACAAAGTCTAACCATTCACATTGAACATACGTAACACTTGGCACAGAAGTCAACACGGTGAGTTTTTACGAACAAAAATTGCAATAGTGAATAAGCTGCATCTCAGGTTGACACTATGCACACAACGATTTATGGATCAGACATAGTTTTAAATAAAAGGTAGAGCATTGGGCTTTACAATGCAAACAATGTGTACAACGACAACAACACAATTACATTTGTATAGCACCTTTAACGTTGGGAGGACGCCCCAAGATGCTGGACAGTCAGTGTTTCGGACCCAGGCTGGGGGTCTGGAGGGTAGAAGGCAGCGGGGGAAGGAGGGTGATGGAAGGCTTGGTCGAAGAGGAAGGTCTTGAGACAGGTCTTGAAGGAGGCATAGGCGGGAACGACGCGGAGGGACTGTGGAATAGAGTTCCAGATGGTGGGGCAGAGAGGTTGAAGGCCTGCCCTCCAATGGTGGGGCAGGTAAGGAGGGGGACTTGAAGCAGGCCAGAGCCCGCTGAGCGGAGGGAGCAGGCAGGTTGGTAAGAGGTTAGGAGTTCGCAGAGGTAGGGGGGTACAAGACCGTGGAGGGCTTTGAAGGTGAGGACCAGGATCTTGAATTGTATCCTCTGTGATGAGAAGCCAGCAGAGTCAGGCGAGGATAGGGGTGATAGGGTCGCGGAGCATGGTGCGGGAGAGGACATGGGCTGCAGAGCTCTGGATGATCTGCAGCCTATGGAGGGAGGAGTTGGGGAAGCCGACAAGCAGGGAGTTTGCAGAGTCAAGCCTTGATGTCATGAATGCGTGTATGAGGGTCTCGGCGGTCTGCGGTGCGAGACAGTGGCGGAGCTGGGCGATGTTGCAGAGGTGGGGGAAGGCAGAGCAGGTCATGGCGCGAATGTGGAGTAGAAAGGATAGTTGAAGGTCAAACAAGATGCCAAGATTCCGGACTGCTTAACAAGGTGGAGTGTGCGCCTGATGTGTGGAGGCGCTGATGGGAGCCAATCAGGAGAGTCTCGGTCTAATTGATGTTCAACTGAAGAAAGTTAGCTCTCATCCAGGACTTGATATCTGACAGACATTCTGTCAGGACAGCAGTGGTCCTGGAGTTGAAGGTGGAGACAGAGAGATAGAGTTGGATGTCATCCGCATGCATGTGGAAGTTGACCCCATGTTTGCGGATGATGTCACCAAGTGGGAGCATATAGATATTGAAGATGAGGGGACCTAGGACAGCCATGGGGAACGCAGCACCAGACAGTGTGAGGGCTTGAGGAGAAACCGTTTGTGGAGATGAAGTGGCTCAGTGAGGCTCAGTGTACAGTATGCTTATCCAGAAATCGAACACTGGTTTTACATTTAAAATATAAATAGGTACAAAACCGCAAACAAAACTTTGTTTTTTGTGAAAATCAAGGTTTTCTTAATGCACAGGATAGTTGAAATGTGAAATTTTCTGCCACAAACTTTTTGAGGAAGAGTCCATAAATTGCTTTAAAAGGAATTAGTTGCTTAAAAAAGAGGAGTGTGAAAACTGCACACAGTAGTGGGGAATGGGATTTAGGTGGCTTTTTGAGAAAAATACCAATGCACACCTTGGCCTGTTTCTTTGTTGTGACATTCAGTGATTCTATGAAGTGCTCCCCAATGTTCAAAAGAACAATTAAGTACAGCAATTCATCACCGTAGCACTGATATTTCACAGACTGCTAAAGTGCATACTGTTTGCGGCTTCCATCTTTAAGAATAGCAAACTCTTCCCATAAAAATCTTGTCTTTTTCCATTTCCTAAATATGGCATTTAAAAAAAACTCTTCGAGGGTAGAAATTGATTTACCCAGGTCTGTGAATGTAACTGAGTTTATTAAATGTGCATGACCCTAAATATGGCAAAGCTTGGTTGACCAATTCCTTTTTTTTGCAGAAGAGTGGAGAAGTGCTGTTGACCCCATTTCAAAAGCCGAAACAAAAAAGGCATCGCTGTAGAAATCCCAACAAACTGGATGTTAACACTTTGACAGGAGATGAAAGAGTGCCTATTGTGAATAAAAGAAATGGGAAAAAGGTATGAGATCAATATAAAGTATAAAAATGCAAAGACATCAATATAAACAGTAACAACGTGCATTCATGTAGCACACTTCACACAGGAAAACACCTTGGAGCTTGAAGTTTAATAGGGATAGCTAAACCCAGTAAATTCTTTAATACAGAAGACTGTTTTTTTGGTAAGACTGTCATCTTTAAGTCAGAAGGTTGAGAGCTTGAGCTCCATATCAGGACATGAGCTTTTAAACTTGGCTGACAGTCAAGTGCAGTAATGATGGAGAGCTGGCTGCATTGTTGGATGTGCCATCCTTCAGATGAGCCTTTAATTCTAGATTTTGTTTCCCTCTGTTTAAAAAATCCACTGTAACACTGGCTCGCTTAATGTCAGCAGCCACCATATGATTAAAAAAATAGATATATTTTAGCATGTGTGAAGCTGTCTGGCCTGTCGCTTAAATGCACGGTAACTTCACCAGTCGTGGTTGGTGATATCACATGCAGAAGAACTGATGCCCCATTATGGAGCTGGTTTTATGGACCCCATTCCCCACTACCACCTTAGAATCAAGTTCCACTGCATTTTTAAGAGCATTTAAGGTGTTTAAGGTGCATTTTTAAGGTGTTTTCCCTACCTAGGGTTTATAAGTCTGACCCAAAGAAGGATAAAGATCTTCTTGAACAAGCAGAGTTGTTTTACTAGGGATCACTTTGTGGATTCATTTTTAGTTATAATTGATGAGTTTTGTTTCGGGTCATTTTGATGGAAATGTTTTAGAATGATTTTCTTCTTTCAGCGTTAATTTTGGAGATCAGTTGGCTGACTGATTAAATTGGAATGAAAATGAAAAGCAGGTCATTTGAGCAGATGCAGTCTTATACATACTGCTCAATGCTTCTTGCTTGGTGCTATTTATTTTGGATCAGGCCCACAAGTGAACCATTTCTAGATTCTTTGTTAACTGGAGCTGATGAAAGTATGATTCTGGACTTTCTTTAAAATGAAAATTGAAAGATGCTCCAGCTTATTTGACATTGTACATTTTTAACCGAGGGTGATGGTGGGGTGTGAGGGGGGGGCGGTCCCCGGTTTGTGGGGGGGGATTGCTGCATTTTGAAAATCCACTTGGTGGAGCTGTTGGAGGTTGTGTTCATTCCTTCAAAGAAAGCTATTACTACTTGGAGCCTTACCATGATCTGGGACTTGCATTTCTCATCTATAGTGTGTGCAGATGTGATCTTTGTAATATAGGAACATGGTAACAATATAACGTCCTTAATAAGCATTCAAACTTGTTTTCATGCACTTTCGTTGGCACTGTTTTGATATATTGCAGTTGTTACTTTAACGTGATAGATACTATTGGGAGTAGAAAACACCCAAATTTCAAAACTATTTTTCCACTTCAAAAATGCTTATGAAAAATGCATAAGGAATTATTTAACCTTCAGGAGATTGATCTGCATACAAAGTTTGTGTCTCAGATGTCTTTTTTAACTTCACTAGATGGGTGGTGCCATGGCTCCACCAATGAAAGACCTTCCTAGATGGCTTGAAGAAAATCCAGAGTTTGCTGTTGCACCTGATTGGGCTGATGTTGTCAAACAGTCTGTAAGTTGGCATTATGCTGGTTATTTGGGAGTCCTGTAGCTCAGTGGTTAGAGCACTTGCTTTGCAAGCGAGAGACCTGGGTTCAATTCCAGGCAGGGCGAAACCTCGGGCAAGTTTCCTTACGCCACACACCTAATAATAATCCCTCCAAAAAACAAAACAATAATAAATTGGTCATTTTCAATCCATGACTGTTTGTGGGACACCGCTGTGCGCAATTGGCTGCTGCGTTCGCCCACAAATATACAGTCAATTTACTTTGCAGTATATTCTGTGAAGGGCTTTGAGACTTCTAGAAGACATAAAAAGCGCTATATCAAATGCTAGGATTATTATTATTATTATTCGGTTATTTCTTGAAGAGGTAACTGGATTTTTTTGTAAGAGAATCTGTACAAAGCCCAGCTGAAAACTGTCTATGTAACACCAATATTGTCTTTGATAATGTCATACCTGTTATGGTAATGCAGTTTTTGTTTCAATCCTCATTCACCTAAGATGAATTATTTAGTAGGTAACCCAGTTTGCATACATGATCAATCAAATTTAGATCAGGTGACTGCACTTTGCTTTTGCAGCTGAATTATAGCACAGTTGACTTTGTTATGGGTTCATAAAGGTGCTTTATAATGCAAAAAATAGATGTGCTTGAAGTTAAACTGTTTCAAGGCCAACTATATTTTCTGAAAGTAAAATATGACTTGAATTGCATTGCCCTTTAAAATTCAGTCCTTTCTACATATTATAGTGATGAATGTTACTGATTTTAGTTTATAAGCAATAATTAACATCTTTTAAAGTATTCTTAATTATTATATCAAAAACATAGCATTATATTATTTTAACATTTAAAAAAAATTCACACGTTTTCTACTACTTCCTTCGGCAACAAGTTATCCTTGTTCCTTAGACTTAGGTTTTGGAGAGTAGCAAGAGAGTCATCTTGCACAGAGAGATCTCCACAGATTATGTTAATAGTCTGATCGATCTGTTACGTGCATTTGAATGATACAGGAAAGGTCACCTTGTTTTGGTGTCCCTTGTGTCTCAATCCAAGATTGTCTTCCCCTAACAGTGTTAGAGTGGAGTTCAGATTGAAGTTTTCTCCAAGCTCAATACTCCATTGTGACTCCGGAACCAACAAGGTGCCTTTTTTGATGCATCTATGAAATTTTGACATAATCTTTATCTTTAAAGTCAATTGCAGAGAAAACTGGCACATTGTGAAATCTAAATTTTCTTATGAAGCTAAAAAATGTTTTTTTTATCGAGCTTTTTTGATCATGAAGTGGGTTTAGTGTACTTGGGATTAATTACTTGACTCTGCTGTTTATCTTTTCAGGGTTTTCTGCCAGAGTCCATGTTTGACCGCGTTCTCACTGGACCAGTTGTTAGAGAGGAAGGAGCAAGCAGAAGAGGGAGAAGGCCCAAGAGTGAGATCGCCAAAGCTGCTGCAGCTGCTGCTGCTGCTGCTTCAGCCTCGGGAATAAACCCACTGCTGATGAACAGCCTGTTTGCTGGAATGGATCTTACAAGCCTACAGAATTTACAGAACCTGCAAAGCCTTCAGTTAGCTGGATTAATGGGCTTCCCACCTGGCCTTGCCGCAGCTGCTGGAGGAGGAGATACAAAAACCCCTGCTGCTTTACTACCCTTGATGCTTCCAGGCATGGCAGGGCTGCCCAATATGTTCGGACTTGGAAGCTTACTGAGCAACCCCCTTACTGCTGTCGCTAGTACTTCTGCTGCAACATCAGGTCCAAGTGAAACAGAAAGTGGTGTTTCATCCAAGACGGAAAATGACAAAGAAAATGATCAAGAAAATGAAGAGGATAAGGAAACAAACGGTGCAGAATCTGCTTCTGATTCCAATAACGCAAGTTCCAGCTCTTTCGCAGCTGCTGCAGCAGCTGGGCTCACCAACAACCCTCTTGCTTTCAACCCATTCTTGCTTTCCACTATGGCTCCTGGCCTGTTCTACCAATCTATGTTATTTCCTCCTGGGCTGGGAATGGCCCTGCCTGGTTTTCCTCAACTGACTGGACTGCAGAGCACAATGAGCTCAAGTGATGACAAGGAGGATAAAACAGATGGTAAAGCTGAAGACAACAGCTTTATTGAAGGAGAAGGAGAAGGCAATTCAGATGACAGTGATGGTGTGGGAAGTCCCAGTAAACCCGTAGACTCCTCTCTTATGGAAGATGAATTGGCACAGGCGACAGGATTAGACTCGGTTGAGGGGGCAGAGGAAGAGGAGGACGAGGATTAATTACATTTCCAGTTACTAAAAGTGTTTTAAAACTCTTCACAAGTCGTAGTCCTACTGTTTACATATTCATTAAATGTCCACACATAGTTTTTTAAGCTATCTCTGTAACATAGTGTAGCAAAGTTCCAAGTCATGTTATGCAGATGTCAAAGATGTCTTGGTCAAAAGTATTATGCAGTGCATTATTTATTATCCTAGAAGCGGTATCAAGTTCAAGAGTGTGTCTGAATTTGTGAGGAATGAAGTTAAATGCTCTGCTTTTCGTTTTCACCAGTGGTAATATGTGACCCACAGCAAACACCAATCAGTGGCATGTGATTGTTAGTGACCGAAGCAGTTTCTGCTTTTAAAGGAATAATGAAGATGTATATTTAACGTTGCTGTGAAGAGCACAGATGGACAAGTCATTGTAGAACATATCATGCCTATAGATTTGACTGTATATAAAGAGTCCACACTGACAATCCCCACAATAGTGTGAAGGTCTCACCCCAGAGGCACAGCAATAACTTGGCAGCTGTTGAATGTTTTTTTTTAAAAATCTGGACAATAAAACGCCTAAAAGGGTGACCACAATTTCTGACTTAAACTACAGTTGATTTGCATTGTCTCGTGATTTTTTTTCTTGTAATGCACTGTTATAAACAAGATTCAGGTACATTTCTCTAAAGAAAGGACTTTGTTACTTTAGCCACAAAGCTAAACAGCATTACCTCAGTTCTCCTAGCATTGAAGTTTACAAACAAGACTTTGTAAATGTATGTTTTCTTTGTTGTGATGTTTTTTTAAAAAAAGATTTGGAAACTGCTATCATGTAAGATACGATGTAAATTGCTGCCAACTGTAGTAATGATGCTTTTAATAAAAGTGATCCATGATATGCAGTGACATATACTGTAGAACAAGCAACAGTCTAGAGAAACCAAATTATGATTGGTATTCACTAGTTACATTGCTTAGCAGCAATAGAGACACATACCATATTCTGGATCCTGGAAAGATTTTTTTGTTGGTAAAGTAAATGTTTACAATGGACAATACATGTACTTAAAATCAAAGAAATTTTAGCTTTATTATTAAACCAATACAGTATTAGGCATCTTGGTTTCATTATGTTCTGTTCTGCTCTCTTCACCTTTTAAAATGTTAATGGTATATACTGCACAGTATTATCAAAGCCATTACAAGGGTAGAAGCAAGATTCAAGATCAGACAAATTAAACTGCCCTTCTCACTCAGCAGGCAACACCTTGTGTAGCTTTAAAACACCAAACTGCATTGGTGGTGTAAGCATACACTATTCCCAGGGCTGAGAGTATGGAAGAGTGGAGAGAGAAATGATCAGCAATGTTTTAGCAACACTACTTTACCACTGTTATGGGTGGGAATCTAACTGACACATTGGAAATCTCATTCTGAAGTGATCATCACGGAGAACATGGATTTAAACCCGATTAGTCCAGTTTCCAGTGAATTCAAGTTCACAGCACACGATTTACCTGCCTATGTAGAGGATAACTGTTAAACTTGTAATGCAGTGTTTCATGTGTGATGTGAGTTGCAGGTCTTTCAAAACCAGTGAATAATAAAGACAAAACCAGTAATCCAGTTTTGCAAAGGAGTTGTTCTATTTGGAAGTGTTCGAAAATTGTTTGGATTTTTTTTTACCTTCCCACCTTTTCTTTCTCTTTACCTTCCCTCCCCTCTCCCATGGTTCTTTGTTGTCTAGGGTGATTCTAACAAATGTTTTTTTTNAAATCCTTTCATTTTTAGTTCAGTGAATGAAATGTTACACATGCACTTTAAAAAAAATGTTGACACTATAACTGCAGGCTTAGTATCCAAAGCTTGAACTCTTGGAATCCGTTCAGACTTTTGACCTGATGCAGAATGTTAACATGGAGCTGGACTGCAATGTCCCACTGTGTTCCTATAATGAACTTGCTTGAACAATAACAGCTTGTTATATAGTTCCAGGCAGTCTGCAGAGGGCTGCCAGCTCAACCACATCCCTTCAGTGTTAATGATGGACTCTGGCATGAAGCAGAACTTCAGAGTCACCTCCTACAAAATTGAGATTTTGGTGCCACAGAGGCCAAGTAAATGTCCTTTTGCCACCAACTCCCCATCCTGGTTCTGGTATTGTGGCTTGGCCCTTTTTCTCCTGGCATTAATAGTTAGCATCAACTCTGAGTGGTTCCTCCGTATAGTACTAGGTTGTTCTTAATGCCATAGATTTTTCCTTTGCAAAGCTTTCAGAAGTTGCATACAAGGTTTACCATTCTGCAAGTCATTGGTGTCAAATTTCAGTCTTAAATGCCTTTTTGCTTTTTTCCATTTGTCAATTGATCTGAGTTTGGCTGATGTTTGTAAAATGATTCTCTGCTCATGTTACCCTTGATTTTGTGGTTGCTGATAATCAGATCAAAGAATTGAATGGCTTGGCACTCCTGCTTGATATGTCTCCTATATTTGCATATTTTTTAATCTAACAATTGCGTAGTTTGTGCCAGATTATAAACTTTGTTAATACCACTAAAAGCAGCCTTAATGCCTTGAATGGCAGTGCACTGATGTGTAAAAAAAATTGCATCATCCCCACATCACTTCATGTTTGATCATACGTGGTTACCATCTGTTGCTATTAACCATAAAACGTGCCAAAAACAGAATAAACCAGCCTTATGAACTCCACCTGTATAGATTATAACAACCACTGAAGTGTCTTTCAAAGATGTTAGGAGAATGATTCCAAAGCTTTATTTTGAGTTTTTCCTTGACCCTCCTCCACCACCACCACTTTAAATAGCAACCTTTACCAATGTGCCATTTTCATTTCCTATAGTCACCATCCTCCTCACCCCTGAAGAGGAAGAATAATCATTTTGCTTTGGACCTGTGGACTTCCCCCTGCGCACTAGAAACTGGATTGCGAGTCTTTCAATCTCACTTCATCACCTGGGATGCCTGTAGGTCTGTTGTGTAGGTGTAATATTCTACAGTATTTCTTGTGTGTTGGAGTGTTCTTCAGTTCAAAACTGAACATTTAAAATGTTATGCATATCTACAGAATTATAAGATACACAAAACAAATAGAGATGCACTGGCTTTGGTCTAATTATGCTAACCAATGTAGTTTTTTGTTTATATACCTACTGTAAGATGTTATTGACAGAGGTTCTGTGTGACTGTCAAGGTATGATCCATTAGAGATTAAAATAAATTTAAATGTAAATGGGACGGACCACCCTTGGTCTCCCTCCCCCCCCCAACCCCCCCCCCACCCACCAACACTTAGTGGGATCAATTCCAAACAAAACCAGCTGTTACAGTACTTAATATACTGAAATAATGTACTGAAAAAACAAATTTGGATAGTAATGAGATTAAAGGTAGTAGTTATACATGAGCTGAAGTTTTGGTCAGCTGCAGTGTACTACGGTTACTACGGTTCTGGAGTCAAATTTGCTGTTCCTTTGTATTGGTTCATTAAAATCTATCTCAGTCAGTAAATCTGTTCATGCCTTACCTGCTGAAAAGTTACTACTCTGACCAGTTGTATTCATGAGGTGCAGACATCTTGTGGGTTGGTTTTGCCAAGAAGCACATCTGGAGCTTCAAATCAAACAACATTTATATATTTTACATATTTATTTCCATTTATATAGCGCACTTCATGCAGGCCAGCTTCTTGGAGCACTTCTTAAGAAGTTTAAGAAAAGAGAACTCCCACGAAGGATTTCTGCAAACAATGCAACAGTACTGTAGATGTCTATGGCCACTCTGGTAGTTCTACAGTGTTTCTTGCCACCACATTCAATAAAAACGAGCAACATTGTCTTCATCTGTGACTGACCTGACCAGTAAGTTTAGACTGAACAGAATACTGGAAGCCATGAGTATTTCAGTGTTAGCTAATAAATATTGACCTAATTTGAATCGAATTGACTTTTTTCATCTGAAAATGCAGAGAAAGGAGTAATCCGATATCTCCTACAGATATGGTAAATGGGTCCATGTCACTCTTCAAACATTCAAACATTTCCTTGGTGTTTGCTTGCGTTTCAGAAGGAAATTCAGGTTCCATAAAGAAGGGCTCTATTCTGGAATACTTAGTTTTGGTGACATTTTTCCTTCAATCTTGTCCTTTGGGAGGAACCATGAAGGATTGTCCTGAGAACTTCTGGAATGTGAACTGCCAAGGGACCCACACTTGCCCACAAAGAATAGCTGCTTAGATGAAGTAAGAAAATGGAACTGATAATCTCCGAACCAAAACTCAGTGCGTTCAGAAAGTGGGAAGAAGGTGACCACGTGCTTGATGACCACAGCTCCTGTTGTGATATGCTGTGAACCATTCTTTCACATAATATAAATCCAAGCTGTTATAGAGGAACTCCAATTCCTTTTAGTGGAGTCCAAGCAATTTGGTGCACAGGAAAAGAAGCTTTGCTCACAAGGAATAAATGCATTGCTTTTCTATCAAACAGCGTGTGAAGGTGTCCATGCACAGTCCCAGAATGATGGATTCTTTTCAAATTCTTGCTGGAACTTTTAAATTGGATGGAGGCTGATGTTAATTCCATTGTCTGGATCAATGGTTAACCTGCAAAAGAATCAATCACAAAAGTGTAACTCTCTCTCCCCCCTCCCCCCCCCCACCCCGCGCGCGCACACACACAGTACTGATGTTCTCAAGTGCCTACTGCTCACTCAATATGGCTGCAAGAGTGGTCAGTTGATGATCGTGTTGGGTTTGTGGCCCTGTGTTCTAGTCATTGCAAAGATTGTGTAAGTGAATGTGGCATGCAATGCAACAGCCATGACCGATTTCATCTGGAGAATTATTGAGCAGGTACTGGGAGAAAGATCAAGAACGTGGAGAGTATTCATTTTATGAACACTGACTCTTCCAACACTCCATGTACCTGTAATTTCAAACTGTTCAAAAGGTGCCGGGTTAAATGACAGAGTGCAGGTTAGAAACAATCTGCACTCTTTGATATCTAAAACCACACTGGGTCCGTTGAAATAAAGAACAGCACAAATTGGGAGAGGAAGAGGGCAGATTCCAAAGGCTGGTTTGGTAGAATCAATCTTTTACCTGACAGATTACTGAACTCTAGAACACAGTCAAGGAACAAAAGGAAAGGGTATCTATAGGGTGAGACAATAAAAAGATAAAAAGGAGAGGTATATTACATTGTATGTGATCTCGACTAGGAAATCAGCTAGGCAGCTGGCTAGACCGGAAAGGAACCTTAGTTTACTAAAGGGTGTCCTGTTACCAAAAGAACCAGGGTTAACAGAGTATGTTCTGAAAACCCGATAAATCCAATTACTCAGGATGAAGTCACCAAGGGACAAAAGCTTCACAACTAAAAAAATAATGAATCCTAGAATAGAATGTGGAATGGTGTAGAACATAGCACCTGAGGATGTCAGATTAATTTTACAGAGATCTAGCAGAACAAGTTCTTCACACCATTGAAACAGGGCCAACACAATTTGCAAAGGGGGAGAATAAACACATTGAACCTATGAACTAGGAGATTGTGGACGCAATTAAAATCACCACTGCAATAATGGTTGGATGAGGTACCAAATTCAAGAGTAGGCCAAAAATATGTAAGGGAGTCTGTTTTCACAACATATTTATTACAAAAGCTGCATGTTTGGAGGTCAATCCCCAAATATGGAGATATGAGCAAATGCATTTAAATGCCAATCTCTTTCCTATTCTATTTACAGCAAAATTTGTCAATTACCTATTCTGAAATAGGTGATTTGAAAAGAAAACTATTTAGGCATCATATTTTCATGTGTACGGCCAATAAAGAATTTTAATTTACCTACAAAATACAAAGTCACTGTACTTCACAGTAATCCCTGTGAGTCACTTTGAGACTTTCTTGCAATGGGAAAGGCACTATCTCAATTCCAAAGTATTTTTGAAAAAAATAGCTTTGCATGATCATCTCCCCAATAATATTCCATCATTTCTTTATAATGACTCAGTTGGTAGCACTCTGTAAGAGAAGGTTGTAGGATACTATATCCTACATCAGGACATTGCACTTACAGTCTACACTATCAC